AGCTCTGCAAGGAAAGGAAGAAGTAAAGGTCGAAGAGGTCCTTGATCAAATCGATAACGAGATCAACGCCAAAAAATATGTGGAATCCCGGCTACAGTTCCACTCCAAAAGCGAACATCAAGAAGATAAAAGACATCAAGCCACAGAAAGAGGGAACTACCCAAAAGACGAGAAAAAATGCATCTTTTGCGCTAGTGCGGACCATTTTTCCGCAAACTGCCGTGCAATAACGGATGTTGAAAGAAAGAGAAAAGTAATCATGGATTCAAAACGCTGCTGGAAGTGCTTTTCTAACCAACACAGAAGCAATCAGTGCAACAAGCCTGATTGCCCCATATGTGGGCGAATGCACCATTCCACCTTGTGCTTTCCAAATTCAAGAAGATCAGGAAATACGGTAAATCAATCAACTTCACGAGCGAATCGCTTCGGTAATCCACAAAACAGCAGCAAAAGACCCCCTGCTGTGGAACCGAGAACAGGCCAAGGATTATGGCGCAATCGCATAGATCAAGAGGTTTCCAGGAATGAAATGAACAATTTCCACAAGGAGGAAGTACCCAACACTTCACCACAGCAGAGCACCGCTACAAAGTACAAAAAAGATTAAATAGTGCTTATGACCGCGGAAGCAAACTTGTGGAGTAACCGAACTCAAAAATTTGAACGAGTTTTGGTAATTTTCGATACTGGGGCACAACGAACATTGATCAACGAGACAATTGCACATGAATTTGACCTACAGAAACAAAGCAGCGATATCTGTACAATGTCGGGCATTGGAGGTCATATTGAGAAATTCAAAACCTTCCACGTTCCAATCAAAATTTCCACCGTATTTGGCAAGGAAATAGAACTGATCGTTAGAACTAAGCCCGTAATAACAAAAGGTTACCCTTCCGCGCGTCTCATGGAACAGGATAAGCAATTTTTGCAGGAACATGGGATTTGCTTGTGTAATCCGAGAATAAGGGGCGAACACCAAGACCCCCAAATCTTGATAGGGCTCGATTACTACTACGACTTCGTTCTCAGTAGCAACAACACAAGATTGCCATCTGGACTTTATGTAGCGAAAACTGTTCTGGGCCCCATACTCCACGGACGTGGAGCAATCGCGCCAGAACTCCCCGGAGAAGACGTTTCTCATGCTCTCACGCTGATCGAAGATAGTAACGAGCTAGAAATGCTTCAAAAAATATTCGAACTCGACGGATTAGGAATTTCTACGGACGAATTTTCTACCAGCGAAAAAACGTTCCAATATTATCAGAACTACTCCAAAAAGATTTCATTCGAAGGAGGTGTGGTAACCGCCCCATTTCCATTGAAAGATAATGTAATTGACCTGGCTGATAATTACGCAATTGCCTATCGTCGACTAGAATTTTTGCAAAGGCAACTAGCAAAAAGTCCATCACAGAGTTCCTGCTACACAAACATGCTAGACAAGTACCTTGCAAATGGCATAATTGAAAAAGCAACCTATCAGATCGAAAACTCGGCAGGAATCTACTATATGCCCCATTCGGGAGTATGGAAAAACTCTGCTACAAAACCCCTCAGAATTGTTTTTGATGCATCTTCCAAACAAAGAGGACAACTTTCATTGAACGACGTCATTTTCACTGGAGAATCATTCGTCAACAAAATCCACGACATTCTAATTCGCAGCAGATTTAGCAAGTTTATTCTAACATGTGATATCGAGGCTGCGTTTACACAAATCAGATTGACAAGCGAGCACAAAGACCTTTGTCGCTTTCTTTGGGTCAAAGACATCAAACTCCGGCCGACAAAAGACAATCTGATAGTTTACAGATTCAACCGTCTGCCATTTGGTGTGACGGCTTCGCCTAGTATTTTAAACATGACAATACTAGCTTATCTGAATGAAAAGAACACACCTCTTTCACAAGAAATCGCTCAAAACATCTATGTAGACAACATCTTAATGACAGCCGACAGCAAGGACGAAGCATTGCAAAAATATGCTGAGTCAAAGCAACTATTTCGCGAAATTGGAATGAATTTACGTGAATACTTGTCTAACTCAAACGACGTAAGTAACGTTATACCCGTTCAGGACAGAAATCCCGTAGAGGTAGTAAAGTTTCTTGGAGTTGTTTACCATACAAAAAACAGGATTATAAAAGTCAAACCAACATCGTTTTTGACTTAGGCGTCAAAAAACAAAAAGTGCGTAACGTCCGCAGAGTACGAACTTTGCATTTAATTTGACGCCTAATATCGGAAAAATGATAGTTGCTCATTTCTGACTATCTTTTCGACTCGAAAGTATTACGGAACCCAACAGGCATATGCTGAAACTGAGACTTCAAAAAGTACTCCAAAGTGAAGTTTAGTGATCACAATGAACCAATCAGGACCAAAATTGGGATTTATGTGTTTTCGAGGTCCTTCTTTTCAGTAGCAATGTCTGTTGCTGAAAGCTAAATGTGAGGTTTCAAAAAAGTATTCCAGGTTGAAGTTCAGGAATTTTAGTGGACCGGTCATGGCCAGAACTGGGATTTATACGTTTTCGATGTTTTCCGTTTTCTAGCTATGGTTGTTCGCAAAACAAGCAATAAGCAATTTCAGCAAAATGTTCAAGGTGAAGGTTAGATAATGAGCTCATGCCAAAATCATTAGTTCTTTCATTTCGATATTTCGTACACATAATATACCTACGATCATTGACCTTGCAATAACAGTGCACAGCTTGTAGCGAACAAGACTAAATAATCTTGCTTGATAATGGATCTATGAATAATCATGAGGCATCTCCGAAACAATACCAGTCAGCTAGTTATGGCTACATGAGATACAGGTCACAACTTTTGTGCACCTGCGGCATTTTGCCCGAAAAAAACCTTCATGAGGTCAGAACCGTGCAACGCGGGGAAGGGGAGACCGTAATCGAGTTTCTAGTATCACCCACAGATAATTTTAAAAAACAGGCTCTCTAGTTCTAACCGTTGGATTCTGATTTTCAGAAATTTGTAACTCTTGTGTCCTGACCTTTTACGCAAACAGACATTGTTACTGAAAAGAAGGACCTCGAAAACACATAAATCCCAATTTTGGTCCTGATTGGTTCATTGTGATCACTAAACTTCACTTTGGAGTACTTTTTGAAGTCTCATTTTCAGCATATGCCTGTTGGGTTCCGTAATACTTTCGAGTCGAAAAGACAGTCAGAAATGAGCAACTATCATTTTTCCGATATTAGGCGTCAAATTAAATGCAAAGTTCGTACTTTGCGGACGTTACGCACTTTTTATTTTTTGACGCCTAAGTCAAAAACGATGTTGGTTTGACTTTTATAATCCTGTATACAAAAACAGACGAATTTGAGGTAAAAGTAAATATTTTACCAAAACTAAATCTCACAAAGAGAGATGTAGTTAGCACAATTAACTCCATCTATGATCCCATAGGGGTAACGGCACCACTAATAGTCAAATTAAAATGCTTGATGCGCGAAATTTTCGAAACGGGCATAGACTGGAATGATGCTGTCAACAAAGAATTGACACAAAAATGGAATTCAACTTGCAAAGAGATAACAAATGCAACCATCAGGTTCCCTAGAAAACTTACTCAGAATGTGCTAACGCATTGCGCGAAAGTTCACACCTCACAGGTGCGACATAATCTCGGGTCACAACCTACTTTATGGATTTTCTGCGACGCCAGCAACTTAGCCATCGCGACCTGCGCCTTTCTGCGATATAATGACACCAGAGAGGTCACGCAATTGATTTGTGGGAAATCAAAACTAACACCAAAAAAGAGCAGACAAACGATTCCTCGCTTGGAATTGATCGGAATCCTCATTGGAATGAGGCTAAGCAAAAGTATATCAGCAAATCTTGAATTCCGAATTGAGCGAGTACAAATCGTAAGCGATAGCGAAATAGCGCTGCAGTGGATCAAGTCTACGCGAAAATTACCACCATTCGTAACTAATCAAAGAGATAGAATTCATAAACTCAAAAATGAACTTGAAAACAAAGGTATTCCAGTAAGATTTTTCCATATTCCAACCCAGGACAATCCAGCTGATGCTGGAACCAGAGGTTTGTCAAGATCACAGATCAATGACCACGCATGGATCAGAAGTCCACAATGGTTAAAACTTGATAATTACGACTGGAAATTACGCGACCTTTCCTCAATCAGTGTAGAGGAAGACTACAACGAATTCCACGAACTCCCTGCCATTGAAACTTCCGAAAACAGCAGGGAAAGTGAAATTCAATCACTTATTGATTTGTCAAGATTTTCACGTTACAAAACGGTGATCCGTACATTGGCTCGAATTGGAAAATTACTACATAAATGGATATCGAGATGCAATTTGTCAAGAAATACCAGGATTACCACGATAATCTTGCACCATTTGAATCCAGAGCCGCAGATAACCTGCGAAGACATGCAAAAAAGCGAAAATATCATTATTTCATTAGCACATAAAAGCATAGAACTAAAATCATTACAGAAAAGGTTTCCAAATCAGATCATCGTACGAGACGAATCTGGAGTGATTCGTTACAAATCCTGATCCCAGGAACCCCTTCCCCGCGCCATGTGTTGTATCGCATCATACTCGCCATATGTTATCGCATAATACCCTTTGTAGCCTGACTCGGGCCAACCCCGAGGACGGCATTCTCGTCTTGTGTTGGTCCGGCACCCAGCCGGCCTTTATGTTGAGGAATAACGATAAAGCTTTGAAAATTCCACTGAACCATCTAGTAGCCACCACAGAAATATTGCGTTTTATTTCCACAAGCATTGTTGCCCCTTTATCTCCTGATTAAGTTATTCATAGCAGATAGTTTCAATAAGAACGCCGTGGACTAGCTATATAGCTGGTTATCTATAGCAACAATTCATGTGTCGTTCATCTTATACACACTAGCTGCCAGCTTAAAAGAATACTAGAATGTATAGAAAAGGCGTATAAGTGCCTATTAACTGCTGAGCTCACAGCAATGGCTATGTTGGAAAATAATACGACCGACTCAGAGGCATCAGCGCCGCGCTGCCGCACTGTCTGTAGATCGCACAACCGCGATTGCATGATAAGTTAAGAATGCACTGAAAAACGGCTATCCTGTAGAAACTTGTAATGAGATCAAAAAGAATGCTATAATTTCTCAGTCATTCCATTTATGACTTCTTCACAAACCAGCTGATGTGAATACGTCCGAACTCAGGGTAAGAGCAAATCAATCAACCTTTCTCATTCGGAATTTCCACATTTTCTCTTTTTTCCTCAATTTCTACATTTTCCTCACGTTTTCCTCTTTTTTTCCTAACCCTCTAAACTGCTTCTTCCAAGATGACATTATAACTTTATCCATCAAAATGGGCAAATCCCATATGGCCTGTTTTTTGGCTATTGCATGGCTCATCGCTTCACACGGAGCCATGCACCGGTTACGTTGCCAAGGAAACGACAAAGCGTCAGCGATTCTGCCTTCGCTAACAAATTTCTGAAAACATGAAAATAACGGCAAACGCCTCGCCTAGCTAGATTTCTTTATTTTACGGTAATTCCAATGCCTTAGTGTAACTGCGTATTTTTGCAAGAACTGCTCCCATTAATTAACTTGTTTTGGTGTGCTTGTTTACTGCTGGCTGCAGAGCGGTTTTCTTTGCTCATCATCATGCTTCAGTACATCGAAGGCCGCTCATTTTTTCTTTCATCCACGGTGGAACATTTTTATATAGTGTCCTTCGAAACCAAGGTCTCGCGAACACCCCTTATTTACTCTACAGTTCCTCTTGAGTTCTTATGTCTCTCTGTCGGCAAACACCCTTTTGTCCCTTTTGTATGTTTTCATTACGAATGAACTCATATGATACTAACTCATGCTCTGTTCGCATGCTGTGTTTTTTCTCTCGTGGAAGGTTTGCAATTTTCCTTTTTGCAGATGAGCGTCGATGAACACGACGGTGTTTCGATAGATTCGAGAGATATTGAAAACGCTCATATAGATATCAGTGATAAGTCCGAGATATTGGTTCCAGGAAATCATTTTGACGATGATGATGGAAAATATGGCGAACTCATCTTACTTGGGTGAGTTTATTGTAAGCTTTTTTGAGTTTATTGCATTCTTTTTTAACAAAAAATTGTCTGGTTTAGGGAATAACCAATCATCACACGAACTAATTCATTAGCGAATGGGCTTTTAGTTTTTTGATTTTTGTGCCCTATATAATGTACTTTGCTTCCGCGATAGTTCATTTTCTGTGCAAAATCTGCTAAAATGTGGGATAAACTGCTTCTTTCAGTTATAATGGAAGCCAGGACAGCCGGGCCACCGTACCGCTCAAACGTCATCGCACAAAAATGGCGCTTATGCGAAGAAAGACCGGCAACGGTATCAAGAAAGGTTCTGCAACGCAAGTAAACATCGCCGCAAAAGATGCTCCGGTAAATGTTGCCTCTTTCCTTGCTTATCGCTTTTGTTTGATTGAGGAATGCTGATAAAATGATCACTGTTTATAGGCCGTTTTGGACAAAAATCGCCATGTTGTGTCGTATTCGTATGGAAAGAACCAAACAGTACTTGTGGAATATGTGGCTGATCCATTCAAAGACATGTTCCAGGTTGGATTTGGTTTACCAAGACAATTTTCGATTATTTAAGTTGCTACTCAGTGTTGTTTGTTGTTTATCGAAATCTTGTGCTACTTATTAGCGCGTCTAATTTTGCGCTTATTCTTGTTTGTTCAGATCGGCCGTTCATCAGAAGAGCAAATAGATTTCACTATTGTCGACACATGGTTGGCATCCGGTTCACAACTTGCCTCATCTTCAGGTACGGATGTTTTTTCTTGTTTACCTGATTCTTTGAAGTTTGTTCTGACACTGACGAAGAAGACGAAATCACCCATAATTTACTTCATAAATGAATCAAAATTCAAACCTATCCAGTGGACCATCTAGATGATCTTATTCTTATCTCTCTTTTCAGCTAGCAAATGAGTGGCTATATCCATTAGCTCAGTCTTTTTCTGATCATCCAGATCACTTCCTTTAGATCAGCAGCTGATACAAGCGAAATTTTTTTGTTCTGAGAGGAAAAAAAAGTAGATTTCGGTTTCTATAGGTTGTTTGCAGTGAGACTCTAAGTGTTTCTGTATTTACAAGTCTTCATCCAGGCGGTCAACCAAAAGCCAGAGGTGGAGATCCACACAAGATGATTTCGTCAACGATCAGTCGATATGCATGCCGAATCATCATCGATCGTGAAAATTACGATAAAGCATTCTTGTATGCTGCTGGATTTGATTCTGTAAAGAATATTTTCCTTGGGGTAAGTGTATGCGCTAAATGCATTAAATTTCATATCAGTCACTTTTCAGGAAAAAGCAACGAAATGGATGAAAAGAAACGGGGAAATGGACGGGTTAACGACAAACGGGATATTGATTTTGCATCCGAATAGGAACACAGAGGTATGGACTTTTTGTGAATTTCGTGTTATTTTGAATTTAGTTAATGTGATGGCTTAGAGCTTCATTGCTCAATAATTGTTTGAAGCAGTGTATCATCATGATCTACTTCATTTTTCTTTTGCTGATAATCCCAAAGGTCTTTGTCCTTGTGTTGATAGTACCGTCTCCTAGGAGTTGTCTGATGATGACGTTCCTCCTATGTACGTGTGGCGTGAGGTCTCTGTCGATGGAGATATCTACACTTTGCGCGAAACGCGCAGTAGCAGTGCTAGAGGTGCACTTGTACCGGAAGAAACAAATATGCTCCAAGTTAGTAGACTATCTATTTTATCGAATATTTGTTTTTAACTGCGACGCTTTCAAGGATGGCACCTTGATTGATTTATGCGGAGCAACGTTGCTGTGGAGAACGGCAGACGGATTACGAAAATCGCCAACTGCTCAGGAGTTAGAAATGGCACTAGACAGATTGAATGCTGGGAAACCTCAATGTCCAGTGAACCTCAACACATTGATCATTCCGAAGAAGAAGAGTTCAAAGGGCGGAGGTAGCCGGCAACCTTATGTGAGTCATTGCTTCTCTATACAAATACAAAGGACATTTTTAGCAAAGAATTTTTTGTAAAGGTCTATCTTCGTTGTGGACATGTGCAGGGCAAACATGAGTGGGGTCATCATGCGCTCTCGAATGGTCAACAGTCCTATAAGTGTCCTATCTGTTTGGCCGAAAGCGAGAGAGTCATACAGGTGAGCAATCGAATGTTTGCACACGCGCTTGATGTACAAAGCCAGAATCTGTTTACCAGATTCTTAGAACAGAAAGTTCGGTCAATACAAAAGACTTACCGATTGTATAATCTTTATTGTAGTTGACGATGGGCATGGAATCTTCATTTCACTTGGATTCTGGGAGCCTAGATTATGCATTCAACCCCTGCGGTCACGTGGCTAGCTTGAATACCGTTAGGTGAGATTCAAATCTCTATCATTTGTCATTTTCATAGCATAACACCGCATATTAACTGTTCTGCCTATATAACAACAGTTGCTATAGTCACTGGTGTGAAAACTTCTTTGATCCGAGAAGACTGGTCGGCCCTTTTTTGATCGTTGCTTGAGACCTATACTGGCTTGAAGCTTTATTGTTATTCCATCGATTCTGCAACTCTTGACTTAATAAGAGCTTTATTTTATTTCCCTTCTCAGTCACTTCATACTTTATGCAATTTGTAGGTTCTGGTCACGAATTCCATTACCGCATGGCACGAACAGTTTCCATCCCGTGTGCCCGTTCTGTACATCACTTCTCGCAACCGAGAAGCCATATGTGCGACTAATCTTCCAGGACCACCTATTTGATAATTAACAAATGAAAGCGCCTGTAGATTTTGAATTTGATTCTGTGATCATTTTTCTTTTGTGCACTGTCTTATCGTGCATCCGCATGATTCTATAGAGATTGCTTTGAGATCTGTCTTGCTCTTTCATTCTCTCGAAGTTCCTTCTTCAAGTTCAGTTAGAAACTTCCATTATGAAAAATTGTTTTGATCTCCCATAGATGGTACCAAAGCATGGAATTGAGCAGTAACGAAGCGTTACTGGTCATTTAATTTGATATTGACTGAGTCACAAAAATTCCGTTTCCTTGCTGCGAACATTATACTTATACTTTTTGTAAATATTGAAATCAGCGACTTAATCAGCTCAGCAAATAAGAAAAAAATGCACAAGGTTCTCTTACTTACAAAATGTACGGAATTCTCATGAGGGCTGCCATGGTCGCTGTTTGCGCTGCGCTAGTTACGGTTTGTGATAAGCTGGGTCTGGTGGGTTAGTGACCAAAGTTCAAAAGCTTTCCCATCTATGCGTTCTGATAATTCCATCAACATTTTCCCTTGCTTTCAGTAACTGTATATATATTCGACAATCATTCGCGTTACTTGCTTTGTTTTTCTTTTGTGTGCACATTCTTCTCTATTCATCGACTTAACTGTGTTACGCGCGATTCCAATTATTTGTTGTTTCGTGGTTCTAATAGCTGTCGATTACTGATGATAATGCCTACTTTGATGATTGTAATTCAGTTCTTGATAAACCATACATTGCAATGGTTTTCATATCTTTTGTATGAGTAAAGTTTTTTCCTTTCTTGCAATGCTAAAAGCACAATCGTGGCTTGCGAGCAATTACTGGAACACTGTTTGATTTCCTCCAAACTGTAGGATAGGTATGTAGCTCATAATACAAATGAGTAGCGTGATTGACACCATATAGTTGGGATTGTGATGTGTTTTATTGCTTTTCCGTTCTCAAGCAAAACAACGGGGAACGTTGTATAATGAGACATCTGGAATGCATCTCAAAATTGTTGGCATTGAGGTGAAATTGCTTGCTGCACGCAACTATGCCACCCTCAGTCTGTCCAGTTGGGTCTAGTTTGTTTTTATTGACGTGGAACTACTATCGGCACCGCTAAAGATCCGCTTTCTATTTGCGAGACAAGGAGTGGCACTCTTCTATGGGAGGGATACCAACATGAGTGGCGATGAAGACGCGATGTAAGGTAGATACCTCCCCCAGAATTGTTCCCATATGAATGATCCACTGGCTTCTTTCGATCATTTTAACATGTGAACTGGCTGCACGTCTGGAGTTCGCCGCGCGCGGCGGCCGCCCTTCCGCACACGCCGCGTTCAAATCTTGGGGCCTCCAGAACTCTCCTCCAATAGAGATTCCCGGCGGCAAAAACAGGGGGTGAGTTTGGGGGTAGTACATGACTTAATGCTACAACTAGGGTTGCGCCTGGAGCGCTAGTGTTGTAGGGGCTGAAGTACGTTGCGGCGTCGCTTCGCGAAAAATTCGCGCCGACCGTACCTCCTGACCGTCCCCCAAGACCCGATGTAAGGTAGATACCTCCCCCAGAATTGTTCCCATATGAATGATCCACTGGCTTCTTTCGATCATTTTAACATGTGGATGAGTGCCTTAACACGTTGACGACCGTGTGCATCCGCGCATATGCACGCCCTGACCACCTTTGAGCAGTTTCGTGCATCAATTTATCATGTGTAAACGAAAAGTTCTCAGGTAACTACTATGCAGTGATAACACTGGTGGCCTGGTTGTCATATAGAACACACGGCATCGCGGTAGCTGTTAAACAGTCTAAACCGCAGCCGTAGATCATCAGCCCATTTTGATGTGGTCAAAAACGGCTCGGTCGTAAACGTGTTAAATTCGCTGGAGTTAAGTGTTGAAACGATCGAAAGGCAGCCACATTGATGGTTCATATGGGAATGATTCTGAGGGGTACACGATATATTACTAGATGAGTCTTTGAAAGTTGATTCTAAATTCGCTTTCCTTCTCTGCGGAACAAACCTCCGAAAGAAGGTATGAGCGTTTGAAAGCAAATTTGTCATGCTTTTAGTAGCATAAAATTAGCGAAGTGAAAGTGAGTAATCATTTTTGTATCATAATGATGGCTACAAAGTAGGAAAACACAGCCAGTGAGTGGTCGCGTAGGTGATTTTGTAGAGCTCTTCGCTATTTTTATGTCACACAAAGCTTGGTAAATTGTGACTTTCAAATGCTCATAATTTCTTTCGAAGTATGTCCGCAAACAAAAGAAAAGCAGGTTTGAAATTGGCGTTTAAAAAATAGAGCAAGTACATCTCGTCTTTGATCGCCAACTTTTCAAAGTAGGTTTCCTCTCCCGTTTAGTAAGAAGCTGAAGAAGATAAGTAGGGCACATGCACGATCCTCGTGACCATAGCGGTTTGCAGAAGTGATGCAAAACTATAGCGATGGGGACAAGTGTTAGCCCTAAGGCATACCTCACGCGATTTGGCCGAATCGCCACTTTCACGCGACTTGGCGATTTGCCAGATTTCAACTTTATCGTGCGCGCTTCTCAGATGTATATTTGGGTAGATTCTTAAGTTATTGCAAATGGAGCAAGTTCTGACCAAAGACAGCGTCAACGACGAATTACGAAGAGTCGCCGTTGTGCCAAATCGCGCAGCGACCGGAATCGCGCAAGGTATGCCTTAGGCCTTGCGCTAATTTTGGAGCGATCCCATTGGGATGAACCGTGGAAATGGAAAACTCATCACTCGCACTTTTTGTTTCGTGCGAAGCAGTCTTCAAATCATGTTGTTCACACCTACTGAGACTACCCTTTGATCCAGCGGGAGAGGCTGGATGAAAGGCGATGAAAGGCGACGATGATGATTCCCTAGGCTTTACGAGCGATTGAAGCCCGCCTTCTATCCACCATTGCTGATGAATCAAAGAGTGTTCTGATAAGGTTGACCCTCTGCTTCAGCAATATGGTACTTATCAGAATAAAGAGTACTCAGACACTGGAAGCGGGCGAGCCGCGGCCTTAAAAGGCCTTTTCGGCCCGCCCGCGGCCTTATTTTGGGGGCGTGGCCAGATCGCGGCTGACCCGCGGCCCTAATTTGAAGGCGTGGTCTAAGTACGGCCGACCCGCGGCCGTTGTTCGTTGCAACGGCCGACCCGCGGCCTTGCTTTGCTTATCTGACCAGCGATATGCAAATTAACAAGTTAGTCATGATCTCGTAATGATCATTGACTAAGGTAGTTTTCATTCAACAAGAGCGTTGGTGCTTCTCGGTCATTTCGCTTGGGCATTCTTCATGGACTCTAATGCGCTTCCCGCAGCGCCGGGTTATATTAATGGTGAGTCCATGAGAAAGTATGCAATGTAGCCAGGAGTTCGGCTTATAGAATTCCGCACACATGGTGCTATTGTTATCTCCATGTGGTAGAAGTAAAGGATCAGTCCTTTGCTTCTATTATATGGAGTACTAAGTTATTTTATAACCAAATATCAAATATAATATATATAATATGTAATATAATATCTATTATATATAATATGATATACTCTGAAATTTGATTCATACACTTTTCGTATTTTTATTATATGTGGTCCATCCAGGTCAGCAGGACGCACGGCGTGCACGACGACAGCGATTCGTCCCGTATGTTGCGGATGATCGATACCGTAGTCTAAACAGGACAGGCCCGAGGGCATACGGATGTATGTAATTCCCATTTTCTCTGTTGGCAATTGATCAGCAAAGGGCAAATATTCTTATTTGCCTGTTGTTGATTGTCAACTCTTTTAATAGCAATAGAAAGGCAGCTGAGAAGATCGCGCGGATTGATTGAAGAGACCAGACAGAGAGCTCAAGACAGGCACATAAATCAAGAATCTGTGATGGAATTCGAATCAGATAGTCTTCGAAATGCAAGTCATACCTTTCCTGAAACCAGACAGCGTTCACGTAAGTTGACAATATCGTGTCTGTTCGAGCTACCTTACTGCATCAGTTTCAACTCAAATTGCCCGCGTCCTTTATTATGCTGCATATATTCTACATTTTGGTCTCTCCGAAGTGCAAGTCAGTTATATGGAGGAGCTTATGAAAGTCCTGTATCAACATGAGTCACCAGTCTCGGTGAAAATATTTTGCTATTTTTGTTTTTTCATAAGCAAAATAGCGTTCCTTGAAGCATCGTGAAATCGAAATTTTCTTCAAAAACATTTTCGAAAGCTATAACATCAGAATAAGTTATTTCTGTTCCTCTTGTACCGACCTTATGGAAGCGACACAAAATTATTGTCAAAATGCAATGTGCAGCATTTACAGGTGCTCTCAGTTCACAAATTCCAAATTCTCCATAATATTGAATCGGCTTTTGCAGACAAAATTTCAAGAGAGCAAAGAAAATGCAGCGAACTGAAGTACACTTAATATTAGGTTGTCCGGAAATTAATGCCCGCTTTGAATTTCAACCGCAATAACTCATACACTTTTCACTCTTATATAGGCTTCAAAGTACCGTTGGATAGAGCAAAGCAAGCTCTACAAGATGGCACTCATGTCTTTGCGCCATGCTCGATCCACGGAGAGTTTGAACTCAAAATCTAAAGATTTCCAAATGCCCAAAAAATCGAAAAAAATCAAATCTTCGTCCAAATAATTTCTACGGACCTTCCACTCGCTCACATCAATACTATCGATATCTGATATCCATATGTGCGATTGCCGTATTTTTTCCTTGACTAGAAATTGAGAAAACGAAAATTTCCCTGATTTTCTCAAAGCAATGCTGAGCCGTTTTTGCATATGTAGTTCTATACTACAAGCCTAGGTAAGTATAACTGTAGATTTTCAGCCCATTCCAGGCAATAGTATTCGAAAAATAACTAATTCGAATTTTTTCGTTTCAGTTTCAGTGCTAAAATCGACATTTCTCGAAAAGTACCGTTCGAAATGGGCTGAAAACCTAGAGTTATGCTTACCTAGGCTTGTAGTATAGAACTACATATGCAAAAACGGCTCAGCATTGCTTGGAGAAAATCAGGGAAATTTTCGTTTTCTCAATTTCTAGTTATAGAAATTCTAGGACTCTAGAAATGAAGGATGAGGGCATTAACCAAGAAAATCTGCCCAAAGTCGCGGTAGAAAACTGTACAAAGTCTGGAAGATATATGCGCAGTGCCCATTTGTAGAAGTAGTGTTCTTTACAAAAGTTGACCATGACTATTTATATGATTATATTGATTAGGTGAATATCATAGCCACAGTCTCGAAGAAGTGGCAGCCACGTAAAAATCACACAACTTTCCAGTTTCTTATGTCCATGTACCGCCTCATTCTGACGCAGGTATACAATAATAGCAGACTAAAATTGTTAAAGTAAGTATCGTTTCAGATCACGGATCCTCCAAACAAAATTCAAGAATATGCGATTCGTGTAAACAATGCGGGCGGCAGGGACGAAAAGTTGAAAGATCTTCCTCCAGAGATAGAGGATCTACTTATAGGTAACCATGAGATTAATGTCCAGTGTTTCCCATTCAGTTTTCAATCGTTTATTCCAGACTTTGCGGAAGACGACTTAGGTTACGGACAGGATGAGTTGGTGCCGGGTTTTGAAGGCGATTTGGAAGCGTCTAGGTGCTTGCAAATTTTACAAAAGTTGAGAGATTTAGTGTACTCTTCTAATTTAGCTTCTACGAAAGCCTGGGAAACAATGAAGAGGAAAGAAGGAAAGAGCTGTTGCAGATGAGAAAAGAGCGAGCTCAATGGCGGCCACACCTTTATCAGGCCTTGCAGAAAGCTCTGTACGTGGTGAAACGAAGTTATTTTGATTATCAGTAACTTTGTCTTCCAGAAGGGATGTCCGAGCATCGAAATACGAAAAGAGTGACAATACGTGGAGCCCTAGTAATGTGAGTTAATACATGACTACAAAACTTGGCTACTTCTGCGATTTCCAAATGTTCCAGAAACAGAAAAGGAAGATTGTGGCTGTGCCCGAGGAGGACATCGAAAGAACAAGTAATGTGAGTTCGTATATGTATTTACATTGGCTAATTCAGCGTTATCCAAATGTTTCAGAGGCAGAAAAGAAAAGCTTTGGTCGAGGCTGCCGAAGACAACATCGAGATAGTAGATGATGAAACATGTTATAGATGCCTTTGAGAACAATGGGAGTAGAACAGCGCAATAAGGATATCATCATTTTTTGTAGATTGTTTGTTTCTCTGTTCTGATTGTGGCTATTTTTCATGTATATTCTGGACACAGAAGATAAATGAGTTGTCATGAATATGTGATTGTTCTGTTGTCTTCATGTGCTAAAAGAAGCAGCTGAAATTTCCATTCTTGGAAGTGCTAGAAGAACGATATGATAAGAGCCAATACAGCCGAGCCGCGGCCCTTTCCCGGCCGAGCCGCGGCCCTTTCCCGGCCGAGCCGCGGCCCACTACGGGCGAGCCGCGGCTCATTAACGGCCGAGCCGCGGCTCATTAACGGCCGGCCCGCGGGAGCTGCGATTGCCCGGCCGGAACTGGGCCGCGGCTCGCCCGCTCCCAGTGTCTGAGTAGTTGATTGAAAAAAGTTGCAAGGCGGTATTACAATTGCACATTTTCCAGGGTGAGGTTGGCCATGGGGCCCATGTGATCTCTTGCGTCCTTTCTTTTCTCTGCTCTTTATTGCTTGGACGCAATCGTTTCCAAAAAGGCCTAAACGTACGCAGTTCATGCTTTCTAAACGTACAGCAGGTACCAGGCTTATCCGGTCCAACCGGTTCATCCAATCCATCCGGTTCACCTCTTTCGCTTGGTCAGTTCAGTGATTTGATCAATAACGAATGAGTGAAACGGATGAATCGGGTGAACCAGATAACTCTGGCCCTAGCTACGCCATGTCACATTATGGAGGTTGTGTAGTTGCACATTCTAAGAGGACTATTCGACTGTACTATGCGTCAACTGTGTGTATTTGTAGACAAATGTTTGCTACTGCTTACTCTCCGATGCTCCGAATACGACTGTGCCCTGACCAGTCGCTAATCTGCAGATAATGGAATGGTCGGTAGCAGTTAGTGCAGATTCGAATTACTAACAAGGGATGGCACTTAGCTTAACCAAAAAAAGGATTTTTGGATTAAGCTTGAAACGCTGGGTCCAGATATGCTGTCCATAGCTGCGCATACCGTTCTGAAGCTTATTGACTTCTATGCGATTTGCAGGGTCATCGGCCTTAAAGGCAGTGTCCGGGCAAAAAGTCGATTTTGAGATTTTCTGCTTACCCGGGCCTATTCGCTACGCTGAATCCGAAAATCCACACTGGAAAGCTTGAAAACGGCGAAAAAGGGCTCTAACGCAGAAGGGAAATCAAAAGTGGGCGGGGTCTTCCCCAGGGTGAATTCATGGTCCCAGCTCCCGGAGCGATCTTTTCATTCCACTAACCGCCCTGACATCTCAACGGACCAAGTGCGAATGCATGATCTGAAGTCGGAAGCGAAAAGATCGCTCCGGGAGCTGGGACCGTGACTGCACCCTGGGGAAGACCCCGCCCACTTTTGATTTCCCTCCTGCGGTTAGAGCCCTTTTTCGCCGTTTTCGCGCTTTCCAGTGTGGATTTTCGGATTCAGCGTAGCGAACAGGCCCGGGTAAGCACAAAATCTCAAAATCGAGTTTTTGCCCGGACACTGCCTTCAACTGGCATTACGGTAATGTCATCTGAGCGAAATACACTGCGTTATGTTCTTTGTCACAAGAAAGCACTCGAGCCAAGTTTATCTGACATCCCAGCGCATTTTTTGGGCAGATTCCTATTTACAGGTAGTCTTCTCATGTTGATTAGTGAGCCAATTTTGCATGGAAAGGCCTCGGACAGAGTTCACGCGATTTGATCGTCGCGATTCAATCGCTACAAGACAACTGTTATGAATTCATTGCATGCCGATCAGCTTGCATTTCGGTTGTGATACTTTTCCAGCTCGAAATTTTTGAATGTCAAATGAAAATGATTGAAAATCGCGGCAATTAAATCGCGACGATCAAATCGCGTGAACTCTGTCCGAGGCCAAAAATACCCACGACTCACTTCAGAATAATGCGCTGCAGCTAAATAACAGTTTTTGAAGTCAGCGGTTCAAAGGCAGTGGCTCGGAAAAATTGCGATTGCGTTTCCAGACCCTCCCTGGCTTTCTGGTTGCGCTAAGTCCATCTCTCGAATTTGTCAAAAAATGCTTTCTATTGCTTTAGGGGTTTGGACTAGCGATTTCCGCCAAGTGACGCCAAGTGACTGTCAGCCAATTGCCATCAAAATGGGTGAAGTGATTCCACTCCTACAGTTTGCAGCCAGCCGCTGTTTTTAGAGAAAATCTCTCCTCCAGCCCCTTCAACAAACTTTAAGGCCGGAAAAAGCCATAGAAAGCATTTTTTCTGTGATATTTCGAGAGTTTTCAAGCACAATAGTACACTCAGCGCATCCAGAAGGCCAAAAACTCCGCTCACGATTTTTCCGAGTCACTGCCTGTACAGTGTCGGGGCAGATGTGAAAGTGTAGTATATGTCGCCCGTCCTGATCAAGCTCTTGCTAAAGTGATACTGCACCAATTTACTTCAGCGAGAAAAAAAGATGTCGCACATAATCATCGAAACGTAGGCTACGACTCCGCATGTTGACCTCGGCGGCAGGCGTCCAAATTCAAAATCAAAGGCTTGTGGAATGGCACGTTTTCGACATTTTCGTGAGCCGCATTTTCTGTTAACTGCATAAAAATTTTGTTTGAAATTTTGCCCCGACGCTGCCTTCAAAAGTATTGTCCGGGCAAAAAAATGATTTTGAGGTTTTGTGCTTACCCGGGCCTATTCGCTGTGCTGAATCAGAGGAAGGTTTTAGCAGGATACAAGACTTTAATGGTGAGATTTAGAATGAGCGAGGCAGTACGATCCTACAATTTACGCATGAAGGAGTTGCTTTTATTCGTTTGATGGCGTAATGTAGCAGTAAACATTCTTGCTCGATTCTACTCGTATTTTTCGTATTTTTATCGTAAATAAATGTCTAAAATAGAGCAGTATGTTTTGGGGGAAAGCAGTACATCATGAAGAAGTTCTTTCATTTTTTTATCTCACTGCTTATCACCGTAGCCATTTGTGGAGATAGTGCCTTAGTTTAAATCGTCAAAAAGTGAAGAGACGAAAAAGTCGATCCCTGTACCTGTAATCCCACAAGTAAACATCTTGACAAATTATCACATCGTGCTTTACAATTTTTGATAGTCGTGTGCGGGTGCACAGAATTAAACACATATCGAACAGCTGTTCGCATAAATTGTAGTATCAATTTGAGTGACTCAATCAAGCTCTCGCAGCATGTTTCCAACAGCATGGTGTACAATTTGAACGTTGGTGGCCATCATTATCTTGCCTGCTCGCGTCCTCATGCAGTTTCCGTACACTTTCGCAAGGCTGCTAGCGTACAGATCCAGTCGTATCTATTCTTCCACCAAAAATATGTGCACATTCTGAGTTCTGCATATCCAAATTGTTGGTTGCCATTTGGGGGTGGCACGGTCACAGTTTGGGCCTATTCACTCTTTGACCAATTTGCAACTTTCATCTAGTTACCTCTTTAAACTGTACTTTTAGGATTTTTCTGCAGGCGATCTAATCAGCACAATGGAGATATCGAAATCATTGCGGAAGCTGCTAGAAAGCATCCCTGGAGTAAGCTCAATCTTCCTCACAGACCGTGATGGCGTAATTGTCCTGAGCGTGGGTAAGCCTCGTATTCACTCAAATAAAGTTACCTCGCTAAACACTTTCTCATTTTTCTTCGTTGCAGGTGAAGAGTTACGTTCCAGAGCCTCATTGATATCAAGTTTGCAAGCGACGCAAGATCAAACGGGAAAGCTTGTGATGGGTGAGTAGTGGGCATTTCTGTAGATTACCAACCTCGCGTTTTCGGTTGTGTGGCTGCGAATTCGATGCAGCCATGTTTTTTTAGATTTTTTTCTATTTCTTCCTTTTCTCACTCTGAATAATTGCGGATTTGCATTTTGTTTATACGGTGAAAATTGGGCTATTTCAGGAGCTCATCACGCCTCAGCTTTCTTCTACGAAAATAGTCAACTGATTATCCTGAATGTCCCACCGCTAACAGCATTTGTTGTTGCTTCACCGTCAGCAAATACTGGAATGCTACTCAAATTACGAGAACAATTAACACCTCTTGTGCAAGAAGTTGAGGGTATTGTACCCGAAATACCAAGCTGTAAGTAAATTTTTTTCGATCGTCAAGCTTATGCCCTTGATTTTTTCTCATTGTTTTCTGTTGATTTTTTCTCATTATTCCACTCATAATAATGCGCTTGCAACTCATTTCCATGGAGAGGCTTAAGCTTCAAATGGCTGGTGTGGAATAGCGTTTAGCTGACTGAACCTTGTTTCGTTATCTCGACAAGAAATCTTTCGTATCTTTCGAGTATCGCAGAGATGTGCTTTCAAGCGCTGCAGCGAGATATCGTTTTGAAAATATTTTTGCAGCAAATGTTCTTACCAATCAGAATTAGTGAAGTTTTGCACGTCATGTTCGGGTAGACTAAATGGGCACTTATTTTTGGGCACGCGCCATACCTGATGCACCTGATACGCTTGATCCGATTCGCTCTTGGTCAGCTCACTAATTCGACCAATAGCGAAGTGGATTAAGTGGATCAAGTAGGCATTCGCTTCGTTGCTGGCCACTTCACTGATTTGACTAATATGAGGATGAAGTGGATCAAGTGGATTAAGTGGATCCAGTATGGCGCGTGCCGATTTCCTGAGAAGTTCAGAAAAGGGCGATATGAGCACAATTGCTTATCCTCCTGATTTTTATCAAGCCGCTTCACAGTGTGTTTTTCTATGTTGTTTGTGTTCATGAGCGAGGAGCTGGTAAGCCGATTTTGACTCTATGATTAACTCTATAACTCAAGACTCGTGCTCCATTGACATGTGCTTTTTACTTTGCTATGTAATGAATATATTGACTTTGCAGCGCTCTCCATGTCTTAAAGTCATGTGTTTCAAAAGTGTCCATTCATAAACAACTTTTTTATCGCATGGCTTTTTGCGCCATCATCGAAATCTCGTGACTTCCAACTGCCTGTTTGCTCCTACAATCATTTTCTGCGCTCGAATTGCTGCTTAGTCTGCCTTTTTGACTGCTGGGGTTCCAGTCCACTGTTTGTTGTGAGTGTTTACTCATGCGCGCGATGTCTCCATCCTCTCTTGCAGGTCACTCCCTGATTAGTTCTATAAGCTCGATCCAGCAATCGTGTTTGTTAAAGGCAATGGATCGGCAAAGTGGAGCCCTGCAGATTTTGGTGTTTCAGGTAGTAGATCTCCCGAGTACACCGTAGCCCTAACCCCACCCTCCAAATCATGCGCTAAGTCCTGAAAAAAGCGCTTTAAAACTCCATCAATGACGCCCGCTCAGTGGAAATGGGCAGGGCTGGTGGAGTTTTGAAGCTCCTTTACAGGATCTTAGCGCATCCATTAAAGGGTGGGGTTAGGGCTACGGTGTACTTGAGGGGTCTACTACCTGACACTATCAAAATTTGATAGGGTCCATTTTGCCGACACTGCCTTTAAGTCTCATAAGCTCATGGTTAAATTTGAAATTAATTTGTTCTAAATTTGTCCTTTCCTGTTTCCAGTGTAAAGTTGTTCTTTACATGTATTACAGTCCCATGTGGTGTTCATGTGATCATACGTAGTTCTATGAATAAGATATCTATTGTGTTAACAAAAAACTCCATACTTTACATTTTAGTCTTTCATTGTAAGTGATTCCATTGTTTTCTCAACTAAATTCCATTCATTGAGGTCTGAGTGTTTTAGGCAATAAATCGAATTAGTTGGGCAACAAGCGCTGTCCTTTGGCACATCGAACTCCATCATAAGCTGAATCTGGTATTCGATCAAAGCTGCCTTCAGTAATCTGCTTCGTTATCTTCGTGGAAGTTTGTAATGATTTGAATATTACGAAGCTTTGATACTATACATCTGTGTTTTGAGCTATTATTTCTGTTTTTGTGGCTTTCTTGGTTATTTGCTCTCATCCGACACTGTTGACATTCATTTTGTTAAGTTTAGCAGTAGGCTAGCGAACCCGAATGCTTACCTGTACGAGTCCATTTATAGAAATGTATGTAGTTTTGTTAATACCTTTGCTTCGGGAATGCTCAGTCAGCGATTTTTCAAAGAAATCTTCGGTGATGTGTACTCTGTGATTAGAGTATTTATATTTTGCTAATAAACATTCCATTGCTGAATGGTTGATGTTTCGAGGTGATTGTTTCACTTCCAGTATCTAACTGCGCAATTTTATATCTAACCTTTGAAAAAAAAAGAAATCTGCTGAATTAAGAATCTTTCAATTTTCTAGTGTGGCATAAGTTATTATATTTTTTAGCTGTGAACGCCAATGCGATCAGTGTTGATATGATTATCTACCGTTCACCGCTCCTAAGGAGCATTCGACAGGTGCGTGATTTTCTTTGTTTTTGTTTTTTAAGTTTCGATTTTCTTTCCTTTTTACTCTTCTAGTTGAGAAAAAGCAGAGACCAGATGTTGGCAGGGTTTTCTTGTCCTGCTTATCCACTTCAGAACGAGATACGATTGTAAAATGTAAATATTTCACTTGGCGTTGCGTAAGAACAAGGTTTTCATAAAGTTTTGCTCTTACGCAAATAACATATCACATCTAGTAATGCTGTGTTTGTTTTGGAGTGGATGAAGGTGAAAATGATGACGTTGTTCTAGCTAATCGATGTTTTGTTGTTCTCGTTATAAAATGCATGTTGTGTACTGTGGTTATACCAGTGGCGGTCCCAGGAATGGTAATTGATGAATTGACAGCAGTTGAGACCTGCTTCGTTCCCTTCTGGAAGCTGCTTGACGCAAATTCTTGAGCCTATCCAACCATTCCAGACGCTTTGTCGATCTGCTTATTATCGTCGCCAGTTATGCCATCTTCGACAAAGATACCATCACTACCAACACCAGAAAGGTCGCTGGCGTTGGGATAAGAGAGTGTTATTGGCGTTTACGTCTGCTGCAGGATTTTCCTTTGCCGAACACGGTGGGTTTGTGGTTTTGGACTTGTTCCTTATTTCTGAAGTGACTATTTTCAAGGTATCCCAGACGAACGATATGAAAAATCTGAGGACTTGTCGAAGGAGTTTGGTGGGTTAATGTTTGATCCGCTCTGTTCCAGGTATTGGATCATATGTAACTTTTGATGTAAGGTTTACATATCTATAGAAAATGGAATAGATGCTGATGATGGCTGGGAAGCACTCGTTGAAGAAGAAGATCTGAAGGTTTATAGAAGGTATTTATTGTCATTTCTGTACTGCATGTTGAATGTGGATTCTTTCAGGCTCGTACCAGGACCAATTGAAATGTACGAGTACAAATGTGTAGGCACTTATTATGATATCACTCCATGTTCTTTTCTTGGTAGGATGCCCTACTGTCTTTTCGTTTGATGTTGCTTGACTTCTGAGTTTTTGCTTTGAATTTCTCTTGACTTTTCTGCAAATGCTCTTGTTTCCAGATGTTCAAAATGATTTGGATTATCGAAAAGAATGGGATTCCAATGTGCTAACACTTGAGATGTTGCAAGAGCAGGATGAACATGAGGCATGTTCCTATATTGCTATATTCGGTGCTACTATATTCGGTGGTCTAATTTATTTTGCTGTCTTCAGTTAGTTTGATAAAGTATAACCTTAGATTCAATAGGATTGTCGGGTGGAAGACAACCGCTCGCATCCGCGACACCGTCTGCGTCCGCTCGCGAGCGTGCTCTCTGATCATTCTTTAGCCTTAATTAGCTATGAAGCTATAACTTCCACCCGCCAATTGATTTGAATCGAAGGGTAACCTCAAATATTCGATGGTGCGTACTCGTTTTGCTCTGCAATTTTTGAGAAAAAGAGACTCCTCTGAATTGTTTCCCTTGCTTTGGATCACATAAGCCGACTTCCTTATCGAAAATCGTAGTTCAGCTTATTCGATGGGTTCAAAAATACCCATACCCACTTCATCCTCGCGAATACGTTTATGCTCGAAGGACGTGGGTATCTGACGATTGCCAGCTGATTGTGGTCGATAGTGAAGTGATTCCGACTGATGTGAGTTCTACTTTTGCATTTGAATTTCTCTTGAGTGTTTTCGCTCTGTAGATAGTGCCTGATAGTTGCTCTAAAAATGTCCGAGTGTCTACGTACTCGTCAAGAATGGCTGTGAGATCACACAGGGATCTCAATCAGCATGGTCTTGGTGAGTTTTCGATACGCCGCTTATTATTTTCTCATCTTTTGCTTGTTCATATGGCGGATAAGTACTTTGAAAAACGATGGGATCTTATTTCGAAATCCCAGTCTTTGTCTCATGTCGGCTCAGAAATAATCCTCTTTTTTGTTTTGGACTTCACTTTTTGACGCTGTGAAGGTTTTTTTGGTCAAAGAAGGTAATTTTCAAAAACTTAGTGTCTAAGAAATAACTTGACACTAGGTACAACTTCATGTATCAAAATAAACCAGTGTTCTTATAGAGTTTATTTACACTCATGGTTTCGCTTTTCGTTCACACTTGACGTCCTAGCTGTTTTTCAACCATTTTAGATTTCATCTTGACGTATTTCGACAATCCTGAGGCAAACATACCAAAGGCCGTATACAATTGGATCATAAATCAAGGTGGACCATACTTTTTGCAGCAGGTGAGTCGCTCCGGTAATTTTTGTTACGATTTTATCTCCCGGCTTTTTTGTCATTGTATGCAGCGCACATTCATTCTACAGTGTTTTGAAGAAGTGCAGCTTAAAGAAATTTTTTGAGTCCCTCAAGAGTCATCATTGCGTATTCTGAAAGCATGTGCCTGACCAGATGAAGCTAATTTGACCCCTCTCATTAGTTACCCACGCATTGACAACCAAATTAGCGCCATCGATGGAGTAAAAGCTACAGATCAATTTTCTTTCTTCTCAAGCCTGTGAAAGAAAATGAGCTTCCGAGGCGTTCGTCAGAGAACTGTTCTTATCAAGATTATTGTAGTTTTTGTCAAGTTTATTTTTGCTAAAATTCTAAAAATCAACTTCGTAAGTAGTACACGGCTTATCAGTTGAAGTGTCGGGCGGGTGCACCAGCAACTCCACTCCCGCGCGGGACTCTGCGTCTCTTCCGCAAACATGCTCTGCAACCAATTTTAATCGATTGGGGCTCCGCCTTTCCCACACTAGCCCTGGAAGTGCTAAGAGAGCGTGTTCCGTGGAAGAGAGTCCAGCGCGGGAAAGGAGATGCTGGTGCACCCGACACTTTAATTGAAAAGCCCTGTACCTTCGTATCTGTTCAGAATGTTCGTGCATCGCAAGTAGAAGGGTTGGATTCAGCTGCGTTTTCTTTTTTACCTCTTTTGAAGTTTTCTCAAACTTTTGCATGAGTTAGCTCGTAAGCAAGTCTACTAGCAGTTTGGTAGTGAAGTTTTCAGGAAAAGTCGCAGAGCTTATTATAGGTCCATGAAGCGGCATGTGAGATGGAAGAAACTGGTAGAATGCTGGAATGGACTAGAGAGAAAGTGCGGCAGAGTCGGCAACGGCTTGGTCTTCCGCAACTTGCAGAAGCAAAGCTCGCTCCTCTTCTCAAACAGGCACCTGTAGCGGAAGAGGATGCGGTACTTGAAGAGGCAGTAGTGGAGCCTTTATCAAGACTGAGAAGACTACGAGATTACTTCAGAACTTATAGACTCTTTTCAGAAGAGTATTTGATGATGTAAGATGTATGTTAACTTGTTTTGGTATCATATTGAAAACTCGACAAATTTCTCTGTTTGCTTTGTATCATATGCATCGTTAATGGCTTTTTTTGTTGTGCTCGGCAACCGAGTATTTTTTCCTAGTCCTACTTATTCAGAATATAGTGAGTATCTAGGCATAGAAGTTTAGAAATATAGCGTGAATTTATGTTTTGCATTGTAGCCTCAATAGTGGTTGGATTGAGCGCACATGTCGTTTTCTTTATTCACCGTTTCTCCGATCATGACTATTCCCTCGCATGCTTTCTTAAAGCGCTGCTGCCTCTCTTTCGTCTCGCTTAAGTTGTTACATATGATATCAGATAGCTAAAATTGAATGCTAATGTCAAAGTTTAGAATCAGATGTCCTAGTAGCGCTTCTCTTCCATAAAGTACGCTAATCTCTTTCTTTTAAAACATATTGTATTACCCTGTTTTCTTGGATTATGGATAAAATACAAGTTTGACGATAAAGTCGTTGCAGATAGGTGTTTATTTTGCACTTGCCCATGGCTTGAAGGTGCTAGAGCCATAGCTGCAAACATTTTTAATTACAGTTTCTTCAATTAGTCGGTCTTTTTGTGTAATTGCACCACTTTTGAAATTAAAGTTGAGCGAAACGATGGCGCTAGAATTACATTTATCGGTGCGGAACAGCAGAAAAGGCTAGCCAGAAAAATTTAACTAAAAAATAAAATGGTCCTCATGTTTTGGGTTTATAGTTCTGCTAACTGCAACATAGAAATTAGTGCAATTACACAAAGATGAATAGTACGGCCACGCGAAAGTGTACGTTGTCTGTTTGCATGTTGGAGTGTATTTTGAAGATGTGGACCCCACAGATTTTGTAACATTATTATTATTTATTGCTATAACCCATACATTCCAAGTTACCGAGACTTTTTGAGTCTGATGTCATACGTAATCAATGACTTCATAGAGCGGGTCGAATCGTTTGGCTCCTTCACGAATTCTATGGAGTTTTGTGAATAGATTGAGATTGCGACGCGGACGATTGAAAAGTCGGTATGAGATGGGTTCTGAAACAATTAGGATGACGCTGAACAATAATGTGCCACGATCTCAAGAAAAGATTTTCCTGTCAATAAAATGGTTAGGCGAGTGCTTTTTCCCGAAAATCGGGAGGATGAACAGCACAAAATCTAGCTTTTTTTATAATATTTTCAAGGGAGTTTTTTTTTTCAAGAGTAGAAGCAATGGTGAGAAAACTGGCGGAATGCGTATCTGTTCTCGGAAAAGTTTCGAGTTACTGGTAGCTAACAAATTTTTTTTTTTGTTGACGACGAGAAGCCTATAGTCGATGAGACAGCATTTTCTTAATATGGTATACATATATCCAGTATCGTCACTGAAGTCCGATGTCTTTCCAAAATGTTAAGCTTTTTCGCTTCTTTGTAAAAAGATAAGGTCGCAATTTGAGAGATGAGATGCAAGAAGAAGTAGGATTTCTCATTTTACTAATGCTTCAAGGAAAGACATGGGCGCTTCTTTCTCTTTTATGTACATCATATATTTTCAGTGAATATCTCATATTAATTTTTTTTGCTTCTTGAGCCCTGAAGATTGTAATATTTACGCGTCACTACCCAATTTGAGATTGCAATGACGTCAATGTTCGCTGGTTGATGAACAAGTATGCTTGCTTATATTTGTCCATTATTTATGCAGTTCTCTTAATCTTGGCTAATAGAGGTTTTTAATGTTTGTTCTAATGATTTCAAGCGTTCCATGAGTAGTGAAGGAAACGAGCGATAAGTATTTCGTGTACGAGTGTTTAACGACATTGTTTAGTGTGCTGCAAACGAAAAATTCAGCTTCTTGTCCTTGATTGCTTTCCCCGTTGAGGCCAAATCATAATTACGTAAATTAGCCATCTTCTCTGGCAAAAGCGAATACATGCTGTGACGGAAGTTGCGTCAGGATCACAGGAAACATTGAGCATAAAAATGAATCAGCTCTTAGAGCAATCTTGTTTTTTATCATGTGGGAAAATCATAATCTTAATCGGGTGAGTGTTTCATCTTGCTCGGTCACCATTCGTTTCCTACTCAGTAAAAGCAACTCTCTAGCAAGCGAGAGAACACTGAGTCGATGGCACTCATTGAAAAACAGTTACTGTAAATTCACGGTAAATGCATCCGCAGAATTTAAATTTTGAGGAGGTTCTAGCGAGGCAAAGGCCGCCATGCAAGCTAAAAAGATTGTAGTTGCTGATTATAATGGCGCCCAGAAATTCCGCTTAGGGGGGGGGGGGGCGGCGTCAGCCACACAACTGCAAAAAATTTCTTTGGGATACTTCCAAAATTTTTAGCGGGCCCATGACTCCCAAATTTTAGGAAAATGGCGCCTCCGAAAAATTTTTGTTTACAAAGCTCAAATTCATTTTAATTGTAAAAATAATTCTAATTATGCACTAGTATAACCAAGTCACTTACGCATTTCTACAACTTATGCAGACAATTTTCGCGAATTCGCGATCCATTCTTGGAAGGGGGACGGGGAAGGAGCCGCTAGTTGATCATTTCCAAAGACCTGTCTATCCTCGATGAATTGGCAAATTTTTTTTCAAAAATTTTTTTGCCCCTCCCCTCGCAAAAACTTCTCGGGCCCCAATGCAGCATTCATGTTTTATGGGTAGCAGATCGCTTTGCAAGTTAAGTGCATCTCCCCCGCTTGCACTATATATTTTGATTATATGTTTATGCTCCCCCCCCCCCCCCCCTCTCCCCCACTCAGTCCCTAATTAGCTTCGTTGACACCCGAAATAGCCGTGACGTGTTATCGCGTCGATTTCGCGACTTATTGGTTTGTAAGCTGCGAAGGCAGGTAGGGGGGGGGGGAATTCGTACCAATGGCCAGAGTCTGGAATTGCAAATGCATAGCTCATCTTAACGTCCTGAACTTCGCTTATCGGAAGTTGGGAATGTAGGGTAAATAAGACTGCGCAAAACCCTCAATTTCGAAAAAAAAATACATCAGCATTTTTTAGCCGCCTCTCAGGAGACTTAGCAATAGTGGTCGGGTAGCTCTATTGCTAATTACTTCCAGTTATCGGTACCATCTTGTCTATTTTCAACCACCGCAGCTGATTTCACTTCTGTTTTTGCTTGCTTTGTGCATAAGTTCAGATCAAATGACGTTCGTTTACACCTTTCTACTATTTTCGATCACTGTTCATTGAACCTCAGAAGAAATTGTATTGGTCAAGGTGTGATTATTTTTGGAAGAAAGAACGTCAACAACAGCATGAAAGCATTTTGCAGAAGTTTTTTACACACTCAGCAATATGCGCAAAACAAATTGAACCGGTACGGCTATGTTTTTGACAAAAAACATATGTTTCGGCTACTTCAAGTTCTCCATCGACCTGATTGAGCGCAGCGACCGCAGCTCCTTAGCCTTGTCATTATGTAAATGCGATTGATAATGTGATCGTAAGACAAAAATAATCAGCTTCTGGTGTTAAAGTTCAAAGACATATAATTAGAAATGACGCGATTTGAGAAGTATAGAGAGGCATTATATGCTAGAACACACAGTGATTCTCATTAAAGACTTGATTCACATACTATCAAACCTTGTTTTTGAAGTTGCTGATTTGTACTCGAAGTTAGTTTTTGAAACAATTACGAGTATTGGTTTATTGGTTTGATGTGAGAGTTATAGGAATTGCAGGTTGAAAATGAAGTTTGTAACATGAATTCGCTTCAGTTGTAAGAAGGCTCAGTATGCGATGTTTCTCTGGAACATAGCTCTACATTAGATATGAGGTCCAAAATGATTTCAAATATTAGGTCGTTCCGAAAATAATGTCGCTTTTTTTTAAATGAGCGCCACATTTCATGGAATCAAGTTTTTCAAGAGATCTTAGGAGCATTCGATGCAGCATTTGATCCTCTTTTTAATGGTTGCAATTGTATTGCATAATGTCTAATGAGCTCTCGAAAAATTACCAAAATCTGCGACCCGTGCTTCTTGCCATGGTCAAGTTCGGCTATTTTTCTAAATTTTTGTACCTATTCTCCAAAGAAGTACAAGTAACAGGTAGATAGAGCAAACGCTATGGGACTCAGAGTAAATTATTTTCCTTAGCTTCTGGAACCAAATTTTCAATGCCATCAAATTCCATATTTGGTCAACTCAAACCTCACAGAACAACAACCGGCAAGCAACTCGGGTGTCATTCGACGCAGCTTTTTCTCCTCTTTCTACTAGCTGTTTTTTGTTTCCGATTCATTAAGTTTTCCGGGATAAAATCATCGTAATTCAGGTTTTCCAGGGCGCCTCAGGCTGTACCCGGAAATTTCGAAAGTTGCTAATCTTAAGCGGTAGATGCTCATTTGGTTTGTAAAATTAGTGTCAAACCATAATCCATCTTTGTAAGTTTCAAAATCCGAAGATTTATTGGTGTCTAATGCATTTGTGTCTGAGACGAGTCTGCTAAAATTCGCTGGTTCCATCAAAAAATCGATACAAAAATTATGACGAGCTCTGGAAAGTAGAAAAAAGTTGTGCAGTTTCCTGTAGGGTTTGCCCTATCCATCCATTACTTGGACTCCTTCCGAGGGTTGTCATAAAAATGTAGAAAAATTGTGAAACTTGGCCTTCTCAAAAAGCATGGGTCGCAGATTTTGATAATTTTTCGAAAGGTTATTAGATTTTGTGCAATGGTTATATAACCTTCAGAAAGAGAACGAAATGCTGCATCCAATGCTACCAGAATCTCTTACACATCTTTGTTCCACGAGATGTGGCGTTCGTTTGAAAAAAGACATTACTTTCGGAACGACCTAATATAAAGGTATATGACATTTTTCCATGAAAAAATCCTGTTTTTTTTCGAATTTGGAAATTTCTTGTTTAGTCTTACTATGAAACATTTATTTGCTTAAACATCGACAATAAGTATTTCACACTAATTTTAAGGACAGGCGGATTTCAATAAAATTTATGCAGTTTTTGCATGCAAAGTTTAGAATCAACCAAAACTATCAAAAGATTCTTTGTAGTCTTGAATGTTTCGAAGTCCATGTAGTTGTTTTCAAGTGTGAGAGATTTTAATCAGCATTCTGCCCTCATGTTTTATGAATATAATTCGTTTTAAGGGAGATCGAAACGTGCTTAACATAAACCTGGCATGCTTTTCCTACTTAGGAAAGTTTTTCCTACATTTCCTTTGATGCTTTATTTGAGTTTGAATCTAGAGTAGCAAAAGTATCTTGAGGTCAGTGATCAATGCAATTTAGGGCTTAACTGTTTGATAATATAGTTCTTTTGTCAATTTTTTTTTCAAAATAAATGTTCTTGTTGTCAATCAGAATTTTTGGTTCCAGTGAAAGGACTGTTTCTAGACTAGACTTTTTCGAAGTTTATTGCACAGATGCATCTTGACACAATTTTAGTTAATACCAAAATAGCTTAGACATTACCTTGTTTAAAGAAAAGTATGGAGGACATTTCTTCATAAGTACACTCCTTTTTGTCCATACCATTAATTTTCATGCAAAAGCTGATACAGGGCAAATGAGTACATGCATTAGTACAGAAGATTACATGCACAATTTTATCCTACCTAAGCCCAGACTTATGACGTTTGGTCACGCCAAAGCCGAAATGTATTTTTGGCCTGCAAAATATTAGGTAATAATTTCTCCTAAATAACTCGATAGCACGAAAGAACAAGTAATCTTACATCAAATATCTCAATTTAGACAATTTAAACAAGCGTAATGATTCAAAAATATGCTTCTGCAAAATTTCTTGAGTCGAAAACGACTTCGAAGAAGGAGAGATTTACCAACGTATTTAATCTCGCCCATACAGTTGCAGAAGAATTTCTGGAAAAAGTCTAAAGAGCAGATTTCAAAGAACTTATGAGTCACTTGCCTTTCTTGGAACATTATTGAGGACCTGAGAGTGCATATGGTCACAGCTAGCTATTTATAGATAAGTTTCGAGATTAAGCTTAAGAGATACAAAGTAATCTGAATTCTCATCTGACAAACTGAACGGATTTTGATCAATTTGTATTTAGGATTCGACGCTACAAAAAATTTTTCTGGTATGTCCTCTTCACCCGAAATGTTTTGTTTACCTCTCGAATTTCGTTGTTTACTCTTATAGACGGCTCTGTTCTGCTTTATATTATACATATTAGAGTTTTTATGAATAACAAAATAGAAATGTCCACTAAAAATCCTGAAAATCACGACTATTCGCAAATATATGCAATTACGTATTTACTCTGGGCTTTTCCCAAACACATACGAGTAATTGAAACAAGCCTACATTGTTCTGAGGAAGGCATGGTTACATCAAGAGTCTAGCTATAGTAGATTGCAAAACTTTGAAATGACTACTTTCAAAAAAAATGAAGATTATGTTTCTCTTGCTCTACGACTACATCAACGAAATCGCAATAGTCCACAAATTGGTAGCTATTGCTGTCCCATTTTCATATTTGAACAGATTTTAATGCTTAGAGTTTGTAATTGCCATCCTCGACCTCTTTACTTGCTTACGTCTGATTAACAGGCACTCGTTATTTTTACATTTTTACCATTTTTACCATCAGCTTTACTGCAGGAAAAGAATGAAGTCCCTGTTAAAAACTCGAACCAACTCAACTTTTCGATTAAGCAAATAATACTCAGTCTATAACGAGGAAGGAAGCGGGGCAGGTAAGGAAATGGGACATCAAAGAAAAGCATTGCGTATTTTTCTGAAGTTATAGAATAATGACGTATAAATCGGACTCGAAAGAAAAGGAAAGAAAGAGCATTGCTTTAAGCTGTGTTGAAACCTATCCGGACTCTAAGTTGGCTAGAATTAGGAACTACAGACAAAAGGTCAACAAAACCTGCTTTAGCCCTCTTTTTCGTGTTAGATAAACAACGACTGAATTTTTTACTTCCTTCCTCTCTATAATTTCCTCTCTATAACTCGTTTGTGTCACTTCCATTTCAAACACTCCTGTAATGCCTTCAGTAGATCATTTAATCACAATTTTATTTCAAAATTGGATCAGAAATACTTTATTTTGAAGTGAAACTGGGCATAAATTGGTTCAGTGTTATGTGCCCTCTTTCTGCTCATAGTATATTTTGAGTTTTGTTCGCCTTTTACGAGAATAATGAAGTTTTTTCATGTGGTGAAAAGCTTGTAAGGTCAACAATCATTCAGCTATATTCCTGATTGATTCTCTTGGAGGAATATACTCTTGGTGAGGATCTACCAGAAAGTTTCGTCATTTATTCTCTTGAATAAGGAAGTTCTGTCGGATATTGAAAGGCTCACCTTCGAAATGGAGTTGAGGATGTGAGTAGGCGAATCCGAGAAGCGCTAATATGAGCAGAGAGAAAAGCGTCGTGCGCATAACTGGTTAGGTATGGCCACGCCCCAACGGTCGTGAAGAGCTTTGGTGGTAAGGAGAGCTTGCCGACTTAGGTAAATTGACTATCATCCATTAATAAGATGGATTCAAAATTCTTAAAGTCTGTTGGTAGATGAATTGAAAATAGCTATTCTAGGAAAACAGTAGCGTGAAAGGTAAGGTTAGAGAGGAACGTAATGTGTTCAGAGCTATGCGTGATCGTGAAGTTTGGTGAGTTTGCGGCCATCGCTCAAGTAGGATGCCACAAGGCCTCAAACCAGTTAAACCCATGTACTTTTCAAAATCGCTTCAGATAATTTAATATTATTCGATATTGTTGTCTCCCCGGTGTACATTGGGCGGAGCACTCAGACATCTGAACGCGTTGGTGACTTGTCAAACCTCTTCTGCAGAGTCAGGGTTCGGCATAAGGTGGCTTTTGGAAAATGCAAAAAACGAAGCCCTCCTTGACCCTAAACCCTAAACGTAGAAAAACAAAAAGGAAACATCGACTAAAAAAATCTCGCAGTTTTTGTGTCTTTTCGGCCTCAAAACTATAATATCTACTGCGTGACGAAGGCGGTTGCCCAAATAGGCTGAAAATTGTCGCGCACGCGGCGCGCGGGCAATTGTCAGCCATGTAGCGCGCGCACGCTCGGTCAGCGGCTGGCTGTCGTACCGCCGCGCTCCGTGGATGACCGCTGAGCGAGCGTGTGCGCGCTCCATGGCTAACAATTGCCCGCGCGCCGCGCGCGACAGCCTTCAACCAATCTGGGCAACCGCCTTCGTCATGCAGTAGATATTACATGTCGCCTCTCGCAAAGCGCTCCTCGAAGCACGGAGGCCGGGGGCATCGGTTACCGCGCTTTCCGGCGACGATAAGGTAGCCGAGACGTGTGTTGCCGCGATCGCCTATGCTCTTTCCTTTTTTTGAGAGCAGTTGAGCCGGAGTTCTTTGGATTGGGAAACGGATTCTTCTAGTCAGCGCTTTTGGACGCGCCTTAGTATTGATCAGAATCGCATGTCAAGTTGGAATTCTAACATCTACAGGAGCTGAAGGGTACTTGTCGTTGTTTACAATCTTGGCGTTGCGCGGTGGATTTGTTGCACGAAACCTCGGGAGCCACATGTGTCTAACTAAGAGTACTTCCACAGACGCGCATCGGTAGCATGGGACGGGCCCTCGTCCCGTGTTTCATTTAGTAGTAGTAGTAACTTGTATTTAGTTTAGTATTCTTTTTCTCTATTTTACTGTAGTTTGTTGTCGTAAATATAAATCACTTCATCAATCTCGTTTCTTTCGGTCGCGCGCTAAGTGCGGTAGGATAGGTTCGTCGCTTACAAGGGAATGGTCAAAAGTCGAAGTGGCCAAACCAAACAAGCTGTATACCATTCGATGCAGTATAAAACGCTGACTTCGGATCTGTCTTTTTTAACTGCTTCCCGCTTCTGTGGACGAAGCTACAAGCCATTAAAGACCATTATTTTGCTAAGAAATTACGCATAAAATTGAAAATTTAGCCGTGCAGAGCCATCGCCTCAATGCTGGGCCAAAACATGCAGCTAGCTTACTTCAAATTTTTAAAGAAAGAAGCTGAGCTAAAAGTGCAACAGTGTGCTCAATTTCGCTGTTTTTATATGTGATTTTTTCACAATAAAACCGCTTGCAGCTTCGTCCACAGAAGCGGGAAGCAGATAAGAAAGACAGATTCGAAGTCAGCGTTTTATACTGCATCGAATGGTATACAGCTTGTTTGGTTTGGCCACTTCGACTTTTAACCATTCCCTTGTTAGTATCGGGCGAGATCAAGCCTTGAGTTAGATCTAGGTGCCATGAGCCCACTGAGTCGCCACAGTACCCCCTTTGATTTTTGTCCCAAAAATGATATCCACCTTGCTTACAAGCCAGCTGAGCCGAGCCCAGTGCAGAGTATGGTTCTTTTTACTTCTTAAACCGTCAGCTATCTACCCTCGATATCAATCATGGTCTTCCCTCAACATGACGTGGATTACGTGGATTGATGAGGCGCCGCGTCGCTTCGGGCTCGCGCCACGTTGCGTGCGCATCTTCGGCATGATGTGGCAACAAGAACAATGTGGAGAAGCCTGTGCCACGTTGCTCTGAGCGCCACGTCGCGCAAAACGATGCGCTCGCAACGTGGCGCGAGCCCCAAGCGAGGTGGCGCCTCATTAATCCACGTAATCCACATCATCTTGAGGGAAGACATATGGGATGATATCGAGGGTATATTTGCTGTTGTCATACGTGGCGTAGTTGGTAGCATGGCGTAGCGAGAGATTACAAAGAAACACTTGCAGTAGAGGGTTAAAAAGTTCACCAACGCGTTCAGATGTGTGTTAATGCTTCGCCCAACATACACCGGGCAGGCAACGATAGCAGAAGATCGTTTGACAGGAGTACGAAAACTAAGAAGGCCGAATGCGCGAGCAATGACCGCAATCACTCCATCCTTCGGAACCACGCAGAGCCCTGTGAAAGAGAAGACGATGAGAAAGCAGTAAACCCTTCGACAGCTTATTAAACTGAGCTGACCGCCCTTAGTAGAACTCCGTAAATTAAATCAACGACCACTCCTCCCTCGCTCTCAGAAGGCAAGGTAAACTGCCAGAAGAACATCAGATCAGATGCCCGATCACTCACGCGCTGGACGTAAGATAAAGGTAGGTCGTAAGTTGAAATGGCGAAGATGGTGTGCTAAAGCTGAGAATCAAAAAGAAATCTCGTAAGTATCCGGGTTGTATGCTGAAATGTTGTGAACTTGTTTTATTTTCCCAGTTGGTTAGTTCTTTGATAGCGATCGTCGATTTTTTAACAGTGACCGTTATCAGAGTTGTTCGCGACATAGCGAAAACGTGTTACCACAGTTGAGTCATGGCCCTTTCGACCAAACCTGCACAAATCCCTTTTTCTTCGAGAACGCGTTTGGTCAGTTTACAGAAGAGTCTGCACCAAGACCGATGGCACTTTTGATACTGCGCTGATGCCGTAAGTTCAGCTCAGGCCCGCCAGCCGAGCTACGATGACGAGGGTCCACTGGTCAAGCCTCTAATATGGCGGCGGCATTCGTTACTTATCATACTGTTTGGCAAGTGAGAAAATTGTAAGCCAGGAATCTGATGGTCCAAATGTTTGTGTGACTGTATGAAATGTGCGGTGCACTTTGTAAGCAGACTTTGTGCTTTTTGTTCTACTTCGTTCCGATTTTATGTGGAGACAGTCTTGATCCCAAACTTTGTCTTTATTTGCTTCTCAGCCAACGTTGCATTAAGAGCGTTCTAGCTTGCTTGCATTCATAATCAAATGTTACTGCTCCCCGCCAATATTTGAGTTCTCATCACGTTGGGCTTATGAGCATTGAATTGCGTTGTGACAAAACAAACATCTACTCGAATTGCTTTGTAGTAGATTAGTAGAGAGAGGCTAAGTAATGGGAGACTGCAAGATTTTACCTTACTCGAATACAATTGAGGCAAGATAGCCTTACAATGAAAGAATCAAACAAAAAGGCCTTTCGTCTGCGACATATGATTCTTTACGAAATGCTTACACATATTTGCCCTTTCTATCCGCGAAGCGCTTCTCAGCGACAAGCCATCACTTCACATTGGAGCAGAAATTTTGGAAAGCGAGTAGAAAATGACACCAGCTCTTGAGTCATTCTGAAACCCAGATAGAGCAAATCACCATTGCTCCATACGCACAAAAACCTGTTCTGACTCTTTTATGTGGCTGTACGATGGCATCCATTCGATTCTCATGGTGCTCATAAACTCTTCAAGGGCGCTTCGCAGGTGTGGAGTAGTATTATTAACACTCAATGGGCTCTGAAATAACTAAATTGCTAGCATAACCACTTTCTTTATTTGTGCCATAAATCGACGCCCAAAAACTATCCCTTGTTGGCTTACACAAGAAAAAGGCTATTTCGCCAAGGTTTACAGCCTCAAATGATTTGGCAATGGTACGAGGAAGCAAAATCCAACTTCTATCATAATTTTCCTGACAAAGAAAGAATACCAGGTTTCCGTGGCGAACCGAAACGATATGCATGTCGTTAGATGCGTCTTAATGAGCTGATTTTAAACCTAACCTCCATATTTGCTACCTCTTCTCTAAAAGAAGTTATAAGCGTTTGAATGTTCAAATGTGATAAACATTCGTGCCCATCTTCAAAAACTGCTTGGTCAAAAACATAGTTGATTCGTTGACCGCACGGACTGGATATCACTACGGAGCGCGCACGCAAACGCTTGCCCCAGTATGAATTCGTCATTGTACAAGTCGTGGGGTGTAGGGCGTTAGGCGACAAACCCTATCTTTTGGACCCCAAAGAACTCCCCGTGCAAAACGTCTCCTCCGCCAAAAACAGGGGGGTGGGGGTCGGGGCCGATACATTACCCGACGCCAATGAAAAAATGGTGCATAGTTTTGAGTTACGGGATTTACGTTGCTTGCGTTTTGCAGTTTTGTCGCCTAACGCTTGCCCTCCCAAGTCGTGTTCTCGCGACGATTCAGCCGCGCCGCGCGTGGTCCGCAGCGTTTGAGCAGTACATGCGGTCAACGAGTCCACTATGTGTTCGGTGTATGCATGCATTCTTTGTAATCAATGCACTCAAAACTATGCCAATTAATCAATCACAATTTGGTTTTCAAAGCACTTTACGCATCAAAACCTCCATAACTTCACACCTTTGACCGCCCATAGCTTCTTTTAGAAAGTGCTTAGCAAATAAGAAAGGTAGATTTGGAATCAGCTCATCAAGACGCGTCTAATGATATGCCATTTCGGTTCGCCATGGCGACCTGGTATCCATCCCTTGTTATCTGCAAGGAAGTACGGTGCTTCCTTCTACCTGTTCCTTCCCTTGTTAGCTGCAAGGAAGTACGGTGTTTCCTTCTATTTCGCTTGATTTCTAAACCTGCCGAACTTCTCTTTATTTGGTGAGAAGTACCACACTCATAGTTTGGCAATCTCCTAATGTGGAAGAGTGAAAATGACTCAAATCTGTTCTATGAGGGGAAAGGTATAGGCCGTCCGCGCAGGGCGCGGAGAGTGCGCAAGGTGTGTATTGCGCGTCACTCCTCTTTCTCGTGCACTCTCGCCGCCTGTTTTTCTCTGCGCTTCTTCCAGTCGTGAACTGCCTTCAATCTACGCAACAGCGTGGCTCTCCGTGCGCAGCGCGGACGGCCTATACAACAGCTCAATTAGGGTGGGGGACATTAGGTCGCCGAAAAAGGGCGGTCCCCGCGGTCATTTGCGACAAATACGCACCCTTGTACATGCGCGGACATGCGTTCCTGCAGGGAATCCGCGCGGGACTCTTCCAAATTCGGCGACCTAATGTCCTCCACCCGCTCAATTAGACAGCCTTGAGGTTAATTATCAAGTCCTGCGTAAAGCGTTGGCAAATAACCAATGTAAACTTGCTTGAGGCGATTGGACGAGACAAAACTGAAGTCTAGGATGGTTAAAGGAGCTGTCCTGTTCTCTGTACGTTCAACGCCAGTTTCTTACTATTTTAACCCATTGCGACGATGTGTACCACAGGTGACCCACACCCCTTGCAAAATCATATACTTTCCAGGTTTAGTATTTTTTCCACAGTTCAGTAATTTTTCCAGATTTTTGCTTTCTTGGAATCTGTAGGCTTCGCCGTCCAAAAAGATGATTATAATTATTTACAAAACTTCACATTTCGTAAATAATCACAAAACTTTCCCACGCCGAAAATGTTGTGCAAAATCGCGTCGTCCCACAGCGCCGCCACGCAAGATTAGGCGTCGTCGTCAATGGGTTAATCATCAATTCACAGGAAAAATGAAGATCAGGAACCATACATGCGATAAGGGTGAACGCAGTTTTTCCAGGGTGAAGGTTTCCATAGGGTCTTGCCTCTACGGGTGGAAGTTCCAAGGCTGCCACCCCTGTGAAAGGCGTCGACCTAGGGGTGGGGGTGGGGGGGGGGGGGGGGAGAGCGACATTGGGCACATCAAGACAGAGCATGAGTAGCAGCAGAAGGTGGACGATACCCCGAATTTCTCTCCTACTGAGTAGCCCCATATGGACACAGGATGACCAGCTGGGGGAACATAAATGCTATGGTCCTTCTCCCACTAGCACATCTTCTGCGGGTCATGTTGGAGACTTTCACATTCACTGCTTTCACGTGGTCAGAGGGCGCATCTGTGACAAAAGACACAGGGAGTATTGTAAAGAAATCGACGATTTTGACTAAAAGAGATAAGTCCAGTCTTTGGGAATAGATAGAGACCACCCGCTTCTTTGGCAGGTTTCTTATGTAATGGCAAATCTGCTTTCAGAGTTGTGTGCGTCATTTTATCTAGTGTCTAGATTCGGATGTATGCTTCAAATTGGCTCACTGTACTCCCTGACACTTGGAAGATTTCCCAAAAACAAATGATTGTTCAACGTTTTTTGATCGTAATCAATTCGACAGAGAAAAATTTACACTTGCAGTGTAAGAACGATTTATATTACCATTACTGTTATTTATGACTATAACCCATATATTTCAAGTTACTGAGATTTCTTGAATCTGTTCTTATACGTAATCAATGACTCCGTAAAGTGGGTCGAATCGTTTCGCTCCTTCACGAATTCTGTGGAGTTTTGTGAACAGATTGAGATTCCGACGTGGTCGATCGAAAAGTCGATAAGAGATGGGATCTGGAAAGAGCGAGTAATACTAAAAAAATAAAAGATTGCAAATGTTTGAAGATTAATTGTAAACAATCTATTATTGAGTTGTCTCATAGTTGATGCATGTTTTCCTTCCAAATTCAATCGTGAATAAAAGTTGACTCTTTCAAAAACCACACTTTCGAAGGCAAAAACTATAGTACAAGCAAGTTTTTGCTTTTATTACACATATTTTGTATGATTGTAGCCACTGAAGAAAAGATTTTGTAGTCAATAATTGACAAAAAATTCGTACGTATATTGTAAAATTTGTAATTTGTAATTTATAACTTAAGAGCTTTGTCAGGTATACTGGGATGGTGCATATCTTGCTCATTGTATAGCCAATGTTCATTTCAGCGCAGTGTATTTTACGCAAATTTTTATGAGGAAACATTGCGAAAAATCAATCCATTTTTTGAAGCATTTTTTTAGAGGCAAGAAACTTTTTTCCGATGATATAGCTGTTTTTAAGTTTTCTTCTTGCTTTAAGTGAGGGAGTCAAGAATGCTCTTTTATAAAAATTAGACCACTGAGAAACACACTGGTAAGACCTATTGGGTTTAAAAGCTAGATAAATTTTCTACATTACGCTTCTCAAATATCTCATTCAAGAATATTTTGTTTGTTGAGCCCTAGACATTTCGATATCGTTACTCGTCGCTATCCAATTTAGGGTTGTATTTACGTCAATCTTTGTTTGATGAATTTTATGAAAAATATGCTTGGATCTATTATTTTTGTATTATCATATCGTGTTTAAACTATTAAATATATAATTTTCTTAATCTTGCTTAATACAGGTTTTTTCCAACAGAAATGGAGGAAACGTACAATAAGTTTTTTGGGCACGAGTTCTTTACGACATTGTTTATTGTGCTGCAAAACGAAAATTTTAGCCTTTCCTTCCATTCAATTACTTTTTCCCCTTTAAGGCCTAACAGTGGCGTACCGAGGGGGGGGGGCGGGGGGGGGCGCGCGCCCCCCCCGAGAACAGGTCGCGAAATTTTTGAAAATTACTTACATGCGTTATAAAAATGTGCAAATGACTTGTTTATTTTTGTAAACAATTAAAATAATTTTTTAAATTTTTTAAAAATTCAAATTAGCCTTATAGAAAAAAAATTTTCGGGGGCGTGGCTGACGCCACGCCCCCTTTTTCCAGATTTTATGGGTTTGGGGCCCGCAAAATTGTTGAGAAGCCCCCCTAAAATTTTTTCGGAGTGCGTGGCTAACGCCACGCACCTTCATTTGAAAATTTTTTTTGCCGCGCCCCCCCCCGAGCCGAAATCCTGGGTACGCCACTGAGGCCTAATTATGTTTACGTGAATTAGCCATCTTAAGCGACGAAAGCGAATACATGCTGCGAAGGAAGTTGCGTCAGGATCACAGGAAACGTTAAGCATAGAAGTGAATCAGCTCTGAGAGCGATCTTGTTATTCATCATGTGGATTTGGATTCCGAATCATGATGTTAATCGGAGGCCTATCCCTTCCTCATATATGCCAAAAATGAGATCTTGACGAATTTTTTAGGGTTTGGAGGAAGATGAGGAAAGTGAAACAAAACAATAATATGCAAAAGGGACAAACAATTAATGCGCTGTTTCTGTGATACGATTGTGCGGACGATACTTTGAATGTAGATGGCCTTGCAAGTCAAGTGCTTTCCCCCGCTTGCACTATATAATTTTACCAAATGTTATGCTCTCCATCCTTCAATCCCTAATTAGCTTTCTCGACACCGGAATAGCCAACGTGTCATCGGCGTCAAATCCGCGACTTATGTGGTTTGTAAGCAGTGGTGTATGATTTGGGTACAAATGATCAAAACTTGGAAAACCAAATGTGAAATCTTCTTTGCCGTATGTGAATTATATGTGCAGAATTTGAGGCTAGTCTATGAGACAAGCGCTTTGGGATCTCGAATTTTTAAGCGCAAAACAAATTATCAAACTGTACAGATTTTCAGAATCTCATCCCATTAGTGGCTTGTCCAACAATAAACGATTCCCTTAACTGCGTTAATGAGTTCTGTTATCGGTCATCATTCTGTTTATTTCTGAACAGTACAGCTGATTTCCTTTTTGTTTTCCGCGGTTCCCTGCAGAGATGGCAATCAGATGACGTTTGTGCCCATCTTTTTGGCTATTTTTAACTTTTAGCTGTCTGATACAGACATTTACCAAAGGAGTTATTTATATCGCCCAATGTCAAACCATATCTGTTGGGCTAGGGGGCTCTCTTATTTTACAGGTGATAACAATGCTATCCGCGATTGTTTATCATTACATACCTAAAAAACGATTTTTGCTTTCACTGAGGCTTATGAAATCATTTAATGCAAGCCCTAAATTATCCACAAAATAAATCCCTTCTTTTTTTTCGTCGGCTAGCAAACAATTTGAAGAAAAAGAGCTCTTTTACTGGCAGGATTCCACTTTGACTGCAATGAATTTTAGATTGCATTTGAAACCACATTAGTCTGCAAATTAAATGATTGCCTGGGAAATGTTATGAATACTTTTAGAAAAAATGGCAAATTTATTATTGCCTGAAAAAAAGTTGCAAGAAGAGGTGAATCTGTGAAACTTCACCATCACAAAGTATGGAACTCACAATTGGTCATATTTAGGGTCACTTATAGCTCGAGCGATCAATGACAATTTTAAAGAAATGCTATTTTGACATCATTCTTTCTGCGAAACTGTATGCAAAATCAAAACTCTCATTATAAATACAAATTCTCATTATAAATACACTCAAAGTACACTAGAAAAAAAGGAAATCGAAAAATGATTTTTGGCAACTCCAGAGAATAGCCTGTATTCAATCTCAGGATGGCAAAGAAATATGTTTGTGTAAAACAAAGTCGAAGCCCCAAACCCTAACTCAGGTGAATCTCTGATTGACGATTTTAACTATGTCCAAACTATTTGAACTTTTTCATCAACCTAAACGAGCCCAGAGACCATCTCGGCGCCCTACACTTATTAGCCGCGGAAGTGTGACTGATAATGTGATCGTGAGCTAAGAATTATGCGCTTTATAGGTAAAGGCCATAAAAGGTTGTTCCCACATAATAAACCAAATTGAAGTGACGTGACCTGGGAAGTATAGCGAGTGTGTTGAACTTATGAATAATGGCGCATATATGTAGGCAAGATTTCTGAGGATGTTTTTTGAACAAAGTGCATCTTCTTTTGAAGTTGCTAGGCTTTACATGCAGATATTCATATTATTACGGGTCTAAGACTTCGTGTTTTACTTTCCAGCCACATACTTTTTTTCTGAAGTTGAGGGCTGGCTGGTCTCTTATGTTGCCAAACTTCTTTTCGATTTTCACTCTTTCCGTTTATAAATAAGAATGAAAAAGAAAATCGTGTAGGTGATGGTACGAAAAGATGATGTAAGTTCTTTAGTTTTAACAAATAGTCAACAAGATTCAAAAAGTCAAGACTGGGATGAGAAATTTTAACATTCGTTAAGAAAAAGTCTTCCATGGATTCGAAAAATAGTGGTGCTCAGTAGCCGGATGTACTGACATTTAATTTCTAGTACATCTGATGAAAATATTTCTTTAGATGCCCTAGAAACATTTTTCTAAAAAATGCAACAATTTCATGTAAATTTAGAGATATCTTTGAGTGCTATAAAATGAAGGGTGGAAAGAAAGCTTGACTTCAGTGGCTCATCATTTATTTTCTCAAGTATGGTGACGGCCATCCCTGCGCCCCAAAGAGCTACCACCAATCTTAAAACAATCATATATAAACTTTTTCTGTTGGTAATGTCCGTTGAGTTATTCCCGTGCACAGGACCTTTAGTCAGCGCTTTGTCCTTTCGTCCTTAATATATTACTTTTTATGAGAGACTGGAGACAAGGTTTTTGGATTTAAGACACTTTTTTTTTTAAACTAATCGAAGAATCTCCGGCTATAATATTGACTCTAGAAGCAAATTAGTGGTAATTACAAACTCTTGGTGGTGCATCTTGGAGTAACTAAAATAGGAAAATAATTAATTTCAGCATTCCAAACCAATCGTAGTTTGTGACTTCACCAGGCTTAGACATTTCGCTTTTGTTTGATAGTGTATTTATACACTACCCTCGAAAAACAGAAAAAGTATATCACTTTTTCTGTCTTCGTAATTTTCATGCAAATGCCCTTTAATACAGAGCAAATGAGAACAGCATCAGTACAGAAAATGAAATGCACAACTTTATCCTACCTAAGCTCAGGCTTATGACGTTTGACCAAGCCAAAGCTGAAATGTATCTTGTGCCATGTGAATTAAGTAATAACTTCCAGAATAGCTAGCTGAGAATATGATGTAAAGGATACTGCATGACGAAGGCGCAGAAGCAGTATTAGTTGAGTGGGCGCAAACGCGACGCGCGCGTATCTTCACCGTTGTCCAGTGCGTGCCAATCACATGCTCCCTCTTGAGTAAACGTAATGAGCTTCGCGTCACGTTCGCGCTGGTATGACTCGGGCACTCAAAGGGGCCTCATCGATTGAAGGTCCGCACGCGGACCATTGCGCTGCGCATACGTTATTCCCATGCAAAAGGGAGCACGTAATTGACATTGACTGTAAATATTGCGCCTCATGCGTTCTGCGGCTAATGATGCCGCGTTCGCGCCCAAAGATATTGCGCCTTCGTCATGCAGCAGCCTATAGATCTCAAGTTAGGTGGCATAATCATCTGCCCTTCAACACGCAACTTTTTTGTGCGCATTTTAAAATCAGTTGTTTGTCTTGGAAGCGGTCCGATTTATTACCCTATTGCATGATTTTGATTTTGCGCAGCTTCAAATGGTGGACTGGACTCACAAAAAAGCGAAGAGTCTATTCTCAAGAGCTTTGGCAAATTTTTAGTGAGTTTAAGCTCTGTTGGCTTTTCTCATACAAGATTCGACTATTTCTCTAGGATCAATGGCGGAAAGGGGGGGGGGTGCTAAAAACCATTGGACTGCGCAAGTTTGGTTGTAGTTACGACTGGTTTATTATAATAACTATATAGGATTTTGCCTGCAAGATACAAAAAGCAACGTGATTGCTGGTTTTGATCGGAGAGTATACATTCTTTGCTCTCAAGAATGTATCTGACGTCAAATGCTATAAATTCCCAGCTTTTCAGTATCATCCGTACAATTATTGTTTACCAAACTGTTCAATCCCATCATATGTAAAAGCATCTACGTTGCCTTCACGGAAATAAATATTACAAAAGTTTCAGTGTGGAAGGAAGTGGGGGCTGGTAAGGAAGTAGGAAATAGAAAGTTAATCATGAGGGTAAGCAGCAATGTGTTTTCTAAGTTGATGTGTGAAAATGCAGTCAAATAACAACTGAGATCTAAAAACTATTATCAGTGGCTTTTTTGAGTGGTGTTATGAGAAGAAAGAAGCAGCTTACAAGTTCGAGAAATAGAATTCCGAGATTGGATTTTAGAATTTCGCCAGTAGGAAAAATTAGAAATTGGGCAGACATTAGTCCTCCATCATTCGTGATTTTGAGGTGATAAACAACGGTGAGATTTGTTTGTTTGCTTAATCTTATTTATACAGTCTTATAATGTCAACTTCTTGTTAATATTTAGCAGTAGAAGGTGGCGTTGAAAAATGAAACCTTTGGGGAACAAAGGGGTCTGAGAGATGGTTGATCTGTCTCTCTTTACACCTACGCAGATTTGGGTTTGTTGCCTTCAGAGCAGAACTGATATGAGTTTTGTAAGAAAAAACTGTAAGGAATCCGCAAAATTTAATCAAGTTTTTGATTCACAGTACCAAAGAGAATTATCTCTTGGTCAAACTTTATCGAGAAACCTCCTCGCGTATTTGATCAGCAAGGTTTTGTATCAGAAGGCTCACCTTCAAAATGAAGTTGCGGATGTGAGTAGGCGAATCCGAGAAGCGCTAATATGAGCAGAGAGAAAAGCGTCGTGCGCATAACTGCTTAGGTATGACCACGCCCCTACGGTCGAGAAGAGCTTTGGCAGTGGTAAGGAGGAGCTTGGGTAATTTGATGTACCTCGTGTTTGAAGTAGATGGGCGGCTATCATATCGGAATTGAATGATCGTTAGTTGAGTGTACATAACCATGATACAACGATCCCTGAGGTGTAGGATTTTTTCCTGGGAAGCAGGGTCGCAACCAAATTTTTTTTGTTTGGGCGTGCCCTTAGCCACGCACCTTGAAAAATTCGTTGAAATGCCTTTCAAAACTTTCACGAGCCTTCCTCGAAATTTTGAGAAAAGGAGGAGTAGCGGTAGCCACGCGCCCTAAAAATTTTCGTAAAGGTAATTTGCATTTGAAAAAAGAATTTCAAGATGTTTACAGCAGAAGTCATTCGCACTTCCACGACCGATCTGGATTATTCGGTTCATCTGGAAAGCTTAGGATTAGATATATGAAAGTATAGCCGATTCATCGCACACACAGACTGAACGCTTTTGGGTCCGACCAAGATAGTTCGCAGATAGGAGAGACAGCAGACGGCAAGAGGGCTGAAAGAGCGCTCGATCATCGAGATGCTGACAACGTCCGTAGTGACACCCTGTCTTTGCGTGCCATGAATCGACGAGAAAGAGCTATATCTCAATCGTACATCACCTTCGTTTTCTGCAATCCCTGGGCTCATAGCATCGGTGCCTATGAGATCTATTGCTTGGGCATCAAGAAATGAAGAGGTATTAATCAGTTTGTGCATAGACCTGACATCCTATCACTTTTCATAGGAAATGCTCTTACAGAAACGAGCTTTGGCCTGATGTGCATAGCGCACTCAAAAGGGTTTGGGTCATGCTTGCCTTTCTATATGACAAAAAAAGGATGATTGCTGAACGTGGCGAAGTATATTCACATCAGAATGCGTGCTCTGGAGCGATGAACTTGAGACTTTGCTCGTTATCTGCCGGAACGGTTTTTACTTGTGAAAGCGAAGGCAAAAAAATATTCGCACCCACAAAGATCAAGCAGGCAGCCATTGTGAAATAATTGGCTTCTGCCGCTAGACCGTGTGGCACCTTTGCCACTGGACATTACTCACAAGGGAAGGATACTTTGTCGAAGTGGAGTTTCGTTATGAAATGCACACTGTCTTATAGAACTTAGGAAGCTAATTCCAAATTTGCTTTCCTTGTCTGCAAAGCACTTTTGGGAGGGAAGTTATAGGAATTTCTTGGAGCAAAAATTCGAACGCGCCGCTACCATAAAATCATTCAAAGTGCAGTTTCTGAGCTCGAATGGGGCTATGATCACTACCAAAGCGTTTTATGCAACACTACCTTCAATCTAATAAGCTCATGTCAGTCGTTACTCCTTTCAAGCGCCGGAAAGATCTCAACACCTGTTTTTACCTTAGCCAAACCATTGAATTTTATCAAAAAAAAGTTCCCAGAACTCCCCTCCCAGAAGCGCTTTGCAGATAAGGAAAGCAGATTTGGAATCGGAGTTCCATGCTCTATAAGAGAGTATACGTTACATATGAAAATCCCACTTCGAACGTGTATTCTTCCCTTGTCAGACAAATCCTTCCACAATCAAACGGGAACTGTATTGAAATCAGCGTTTCGAGGCGAATGTCATGACATATGTCACATTCCGAAAAGCCACGGTCACCAAGTACTCTCTTCCCCGTAGATGAGATGTCGAGCGACAGTGGCTCGAGTCACTCTCACCCTAGCAGGGCCCTTCACAGCCGAATCTGGGTCAAATCGGGTATTTTTGGACGAATATGAACTGGAGATGTCTTTTTTGCAGGTGAAAACCGCGGAGATACCTGAGAACCAAAACCTACGTCAGAAGTTGTCCAATGTGCCTCCAATAGACAAATACCGAGTTTACAAGAACACGCAGTGATTTATCGTCGAGTCGACTTAATATGCCTAGTGCACAATATACACGCTAATTGACGAACTGCGAATTTGAAACCTGTTTATTCCCAGTGAATTCTCCCTATTTCCCTGTTTCTTTTGTTTTAGTTGATTATATGTTAGCCAGTAGAACACATTTCTACATTTTGTTAGGTTAGAAATTTTACTGAGAAGTTGATAGTATGAGTGCCGTCGCTAATAGGGCTTAGTGTGCATTCTCACATATCAAGTTACAAATGGCTCGAGGTTAACACCATAATGCCTTGCCTACAAAGGCATAGTTTGACCCTCTCATGGCACAGATTGCATATGGTTATTGCGACTTGTCCGGGATGTTTTTTCCTACCACAATATCTGATACAAGAGGAGGAAGTAGGAAACTGATCATCTTCAGATCACGACACAAGATTCGCAGATATAAGCTTATTACAAACGCTTATTTTCTGCAATTTTGTCTTCGTTTAAGTCTGTCTTAAAGAATTATCTACAGTCTCATTGAAATGTCGTTGCTAACATGGATTGCTTACGAGCTATCACATAAGCTCTTTCCTACCATGATGTCTGATACAAAAGGAGGAGGAAATTGATCATCTCCAGATGACCGTTCACTGATTTGACCAAAAGCGAATTGGATGAAGTGAGTTTGGATGAAGTGGATCAAGTGGATCAAGTAAAAATAAGTTAGTGCATATCTTAGCCTGCTTTTTGCAAAGAAAAAATCTAGTAACTCATTTAGCAAACGAAACTATTATCTTATCTGAGCCGCTGGTGACCAAAACTGACGTCAGATTGCTAAGGGAGCTTGAGCAGAATACGAACGTCTGGATCGTACGTCCATAGAAACTGTCAACTGTACCTAAATGCGGGTAGGGGAACGAAAGCCGCAAGCTTCGGTCGCCTGCGCGGACTGCTGGTCCTGGAAAGACATGCAACAACATTGCGAAAGGACCAGTCAGCCGCGAAAGGCAGCTCAAACTGGCGGCTTTCGTTCCCTACCCCCTAAATGCTGAGGAAGAAGGATGTGCGACGACTGACTGGTGAAACTTCGATATTCGCTTAGGAAAGTCATCCCTGATGAAGGTAATTTGGTATTATATTCATCCACATCAAGCCCTATCAAGTCATCTGCCGTTGAAGTCAGCATCCAGGCAAAAATGGGCTTATGCGCATTTTACGTGGAAAGTAATTCTGGGGCCCTAACTAAGCCACTGCCCAACCGGCAGCTCACATAGTGCTCTAAAGGCTGAGATAATCCCCTCGAAAATGGACCCCAGGATCGTATTTCGCATGGATTCATGGCGCGTTCATCAGTTTCGCGTGAGGACCCACGGGTTGCGCCATGAATCCATGCGAAGGACGATCGTGGGGTCCAGATTCGAGAGGACTAGTTGGCTTTCCCGGTCCAGCCCGGGTCATGGTTCACCGCACTGCGAGCCCCCCCCCCCCGCCCTATATGGTATGGATGACTTACCCTGGGACATCCACTTGGAAACCGCATCCTCGTGATCCTGAGGTGAAAATGAGCTTCACCGCCCTCCTTCACATGAGTATGGAAAATGCTTGATTGAACATGATAAGCCTTCAATTCCTTAGAAAAACGCAAACAAATCAATAAATCGATAGAAGGACGCAACGAATCGCCGCAAAAAGTAGCCTATCATCTGCGCAAGTGTCGAAAACATATGTGTGCAAAGTTTCAGCTGAATCGGTTGAGTGGCGCGCGTTTCTATAACGCACATACCCTCCAAACTGACAATTTTTGAGTTTTATATATATATAGATAATATATCAGCCGTCAAAACACTATTTGAGCTGCCGGTTGGGCGGTGAGTTAATTAGGGCCCCAAAATTACTTTCCATCCAGATCGGCTGGACGCGCCTTTAACGCTTTGTGAGATTCGTATATACATCTATCGTGCATATCACAGATTGTACACTCTTTTCAAAAAACGCATACTCAATATCAACACTCTTCATTAACAACTGTGTTGAAACATTGGCAGGCAGGTAGATCGTAGTAAATTGGATACCACTTCTTTTCTAATCGGGTCCTGCCATGACGAGTTGGGCAACCCATGAACCGGTTGCATAGCACTCAGCGGGAGGTCGTTGCTCCTGTAAATAACAGAACCTCATTTCTGACAATTTTCCTCACTCACATTGGAAAAATTGATTTGGTTGCAAGAACTCAGTCGCTTATGTGGACAATTTATTTGAGTAATGGTCTGACTTGATCTTGGTTGCATTACATTTTTCGAGATTGTATGCGTTGAAGCAACTTCAAGACTTGTGACAAGATAACCAAAACTTTTGATATAGCCAAAAATGCGCATTCCTTTTGCGCAAACTGCTGCAGATGACGGAGGAAAATTTTACGCTTTTCTTGTTTTGGGGTTTATCGTCTGCCAAGAAAATTGAATGATTGGAGTGACACTATGATAAGATACAAGCACATGAAAACGACACAAACCTCCGCTGAATGCATGAACCTTTGAAGATTGGCATGCACAACTGCGTGTAAATATGCTCGTCTTTTGACGTTACCTGTAAAAATCATATTGTTTTGTATAGATTTTGGTGATGAAATTTAGTCATATGTAACCTTTAAAATTCTGGGCTTAGCTGAGAAACAGAGATCCCGTAAATAATGGGCGAGGAGGTAACTGATTTTAACAGGAAGCATACATTGCCGTCCAGTTCTACTGTATGTATAGGGCATTTGAAAAATCGTGACGATGGCGCGACCGCGCGCGACACGCACGCCACTTCCGGAAATCGCATTTTCTTGCTCTTTATCTCTAGTCGAATGGTTTTTTTGCTTATGTATGGTAATGTTTAGACATTGAAAGTGACTGAGCTGAACGTTGAGGTGATGCCTTCTTGTATGAGCGTTTTATGCTCCTGTGGGCGCAAAGTCCGCAGCAAAATCCATCGTCACGATTTCATAAATGAACTATAGACGATTGTCCGCAACTTGAAGGCAGCGTCCAGGCAAACTTAGACACCTGGATATGTGGAAACTAATTTTGGGCCTAACTACGAATTGGGCAACAGAGATGGTGCACTCGCGACTTCTTCGTCCCCAACCAACAACCAAACTCCGCTACCGT